TTTCCTGTTAATTTTCTGGCACTTATTTATTTCAAAGATCATCTTCAGCATATTAATGATTTATCCCCTCCAGGAGCCGTGAGTTTGACTGCACAGGAGCCGACTTTTGTGACTTCGCTGCATTGGCTTCATTCCGGTGATGATGCAGGTTGTTTGCTGGCGACCTACTTATACCAGGGAATCATGTGGGTTAATAAATTGTCATTTTTAACATTCGCTAAATAGTTGCCAGCTGTCGTGAACCTGAATCCGGTGAAACACGCTGGGCCATTCCCCTTCGGTCGCTAATGTACGTTCACTATCAAATTATGAGGAAAGAGCTCATTTAAATATCTAGAGGACATGCTGACCTGTCTCCTGATGAAACCCGGATCGTCATCTTCAACCAGCATAATGGTATTGATGTATACAAGATCCCTGGCGCTATATGGTTGACATCATATCACTTCACAATTCGAGACAATGTCATCCTACCTGTTTACTGGATCGATGAAGGTCTTAGACTGATGGCGGGCAGCGACAGTGGAACAGTCTGTGTATGGAATGTGAAAAATGACTCACGGCTTCCATTTCTGTTGCATGGTAAGTTGCACGCAAGCTGTTTCAGTTCTAACCCAAAACTTTTCTTTCGCTAGGCAATTGCATTGTACGCGCCTTAGCAGTGAGCCAGATTTACACACTATTTTGGGCTCAACTGATGCACCCTTTTCAGGCACATTATGATCTTACAACGCACACTTGTAGAATCGCCACAGGTACTGCTGAAACTGGCCCAAGGACATCGATACGCCTTTTTGAGACCAAGGAGCTAAGAGAGGCCGGCACATCATGAAACCTGCAGGTAGCCCACAAATTGGTGAGTGGCATGGCTGCGTCTGACTGTGATGCTCTATCTGATTGGACAAGTCAATACCATGCATGATATGTGCGCTTGTGCTTCTTCTGGCAATAATAACAGTCTTCTTCCAGCATTATCGGATGTCAAGCTTGACGTCTTGGATTATGGAATGGGAAGCACAGTGGTAATTCCTGACGACTGCCTCTTGTAATCCTAGATATCAGTAATCTAGACCGTGACCAAACAGTGAATCAGTCAAAAATCTAAGGCATGCCTGCCCACCGCCCGCCCTGTACATGCACTAAAATCCCGCCACTGGAGCTTTCCTTGAAGATTTCACTTCATGACAACTAAATCATGTCTCTAGCTCGCACGACACAAACATGACACCGTGATCTGGATTTCTTATGCAATTTACCATAACAGACCAAGTATCCTGCATGCTGTTCTCGCAGTTATGCCCATCGTTGTTTCAAAGTCCATGATGCACCCACACGACCATGGGCGAGGATGACGTTGGGAAACTTAGGCCCACCCAGCAGTCCCGTCCGCTGTTCATAAAGTTCAGCACCATCATGTACGTATATATCATTTCATAAGGTGACCCCTTGTTGATGTCGAATATCGGTTGTTCTTCTCTCCTGCGCCGTCTGTGGGCTGCCAGCTCGCAGCATTATTTACTGAAAATGTCACTCGACGCTCGAGTTAGACTGGATGTCTGCCTGACTTATATCAGCGTTACAGTCGCCTATGCCTCTGCCATTGTGTCCACGAAGTTCGAGCGTCCCCATCATGGGTATAGCATCACTTTGCGTAAATCCTCATACGGTACATGAACTTGTTGAATTTGGCTTTGTTACTGGTGGACTGGAGGGCATGAAAATCACAGATTATGTTCCATATGGCTGGTACCGAGTAGGGAGTAAATATTGTTTGCTGTGACCCGTCTCGAGGAGAGTCCATACGCATGGTGGGAACGTCCTCCGGCAAAGTCTGACGGTACCCAATCGCAAATGGATATCACTTTTAAATTCTTCACGTCTTCTTTACTTCTGAGCTGGTTCAACGACGAATCACAGTCCGGTTGATATCTACCAGGGTCCAGCGTCGAGATTTCTGTCTCTGTCTGGCACCGCGGGCTCTCCTGCCGACATTTTGTGAGAGTGAACCGTGCCAATCATGAGATCGGGGTAAGCATTTAGCAAGTTATCTGTTGTAAGCTGTCAGTACTTCTGACAGTCTGTGCCTACTCTCATGCTGATCCAGTTGATCACCATCAACCCCTTCTCATCTTCTAACCACATCATTGTAGCTCGCGCGTACATTGAAGACTTCTCGTCTGCCTCGTGTCCTTGATTCGCCGAGAGCCTCGGAACTTTAATGCTAGTCGCCCTTAGTAACATCTTCAAGTTTCACACTTTCATCACATCTCACCAGATATTCAACTGAACTGGGAGCTTCTTATAGAAAATACTTGGATTCTTCAGGATGTCAACACCGCTCTGCATCACCGAATCTGAACCGTACAATTCGATAGTTGACCTTATCTTCCATCATGAACGGCAGAACCATTTTGATCTCCGCAGCTGCATCCTGATCCCCACTTGATGGTCAGAAGTCCCGAGGTCGCATCAGCAGCGTGGAGAGAGGCTCATTTGTCAGATTCGAAGGCAAGCCACCCAAGTATATAAATCTCGATCTTCAAAGATAAACCAACAATTCGACTTGGACCCAGCGGATATCGCTATCCATGCGCCATCGTTGCATGGTCGTAAGCTCACGGCTGCAGTGGCATTTGTAGCAGGAACTGGATTCACACTCCTCGGGTGCGTTCAGAAGTAACTCGATCGAAATCTTCTCATTTTGGGATCCAGGTATGACCAAGGTGTCATGTCGTCACTAATTACGGGCAATCAGGTCACGACGTATTCTATTGCTTGCATGGGAATATATATATCTCATTCTAAAAGTTTGAGGCTACCTTCCCTGAAGTCGTAGTGGAGGCTAGCCACCCCAATCATGCAACTCTTCACAGCTTCACAACTGCCATTTATGTATGTTTTCACTATCTGTACGCCACCTTTTGTGCTTATACAATGCAGGAAGTAGGGCTGTCTCTTCGGTGCTCTTTCCAATCTTTGGGTTGGAGATTAGCTCGGTCGCCGTAGAACAATTGCTTTACGAGGCAGTATAATGATGATCGGTAGGTGAATTATATCGCGTTAAGAACACCAGCTGAATTCCTCAGGGGCAATTCTGCAAACGACTGCATTTTCTTTTGCACACTTGATTTTTGCTCGTATCTTTACAGGCTGCGGAACTGGTCTGCTTGTCAGTCGTGCTTGTTATTGGCTCCAAAGTCCTGCTGAAACAAGTTTGTAGACATCGACAGTGCCAACATATCATGCGGAGCTCTCCCCTTCCGCAAAGAGGGGTCGAATGTATGCCATTCATATGCAATACGATGAATGACTGACAGAAATTTTCTAGGATTATGATGGAGGGGACTCTGATTGTGGCTGGAGCGGCCATTGCGTGAGCACGTTATTGGATTTATTTATCTTGTTAAATTGATTGCTGTCTTACAGCTATGTACACGAGCCGTTATTTCCATTCGTTCATTTTTCTGACGTGGTTCTTTAGTGGATTGATTTAGCACTGTATGTTTCAGCGTCACACCCAGGTTAGGCTTGACTGACCGATGAAAACGATCAAATCAGATTCTTCGTGAATTGGTCGTCTGCTCAGTGGAGAGTTCCGATATCACTGCAGTTAGTGTTTGAAATCATTGTGGTGACATGCATCGAATTTGTGAGTTCTCTCCCCCTGAAAATATGCATACTTGTACTAACGTATTCGATCTGGCACGCTACGTAAGCTTCCCGGGTCACCGAAATGGCGAGTTCTTGTCATGATCATAATCCTAGGTTGGTAAACCATGGTCGGAACGCAGAAGCGATGGCCGTTATATCTGCAATGGAAGACAAACCTCCCCCTGATCCAGAAGTTCAGCGCACCTACTATGGCATTCGTGAGGCTGTTGCTGTTGAAACATCTACTGGTCAAGGTTCACTACGTGAACTCATTACCGGGGGTCGCAGCCAGAACTTCAGACGAACAGTCATTGCTGTGGTATGTCAGATGATGCAGCAGCTGACCGGCATCAACCTCGTTACCTAGTGGGTATTCCAGCCCTATGATGTGACCCGTCGTGATCTAAAATGCGCTTTCAACAGTTACGCTGTACGCTATACCACCACGTGATCTACTGTGGCAATACTGATATCACGCAGACTATCTTATTCCAGCGTCTCGGTCTCTCTGATGTCAACGCGCGGATTACCGCTGCTGCCAATGGCACAGAATATTTTCTTGCCTCTTTTATTGCTTATTATGCGATAGACTATGCTGATTGGAGCCATCGGTCAATACCTTGTGATGCTGCTCTTGGCCATCTTAGGATATATCAACAATGGACCAGCGCAGATTGTGAGCGTAGTCCTGTTATTCGGCTTTAACGCATTTTTTGCTATTGGGTGGCTCGGAATGGCCTGGTTATACGTGAGTACAGCAACGGCAGTTTTAATCTTTTTTGATCTGATATTTTCTTTGTTTGATTTCCAGTGTGCCGAGCTTGCCGGGCTCAGAACCCGTGCACAAGCAAATGCACTAAGCACGGGTTTGTCACTCTCGTACGCCAAGATAATTTTAACTTACCGCATCTAAGTCATTCTTTCGGGAACTATTGTTCATGTCGCGTCAGGCAGAACCCGATATTCAACACCTGGGGTTAGGACGGCGAGCGGCGACAGGGAGTGTGTAGAACTGATGGCTGCCATCTACGACAAACCTCTCAAGCGTCAGGACTACTCAGGCATTGTCGACAAGGACAAAGCCAAGGAGGCTGCCGACAAAAGGCCGGAATCAAGCCTGTTGAGAATCCGAATGCGGATGACCCCAAGGCTGGCGCAGATGTCGGAAAGATTGTCAATCTTCTGGTATGAGACTCTTCCGCCCGTTGATGGCAAACCGTATGGTGGTGTCTGTCGTTGATGATGATGCAACGTGGTGTTAATCCGTTTGCAGATCTTAGTCGCTCACCACGTAGAGCTCGTGCTCCTGGCACTTATGACGGAAGTTAGAATATCTATGTTTGGGAGCGAGCGTCAAGGTCAAGGGTGTTGCATAAGCATAAGTTGATAACAGTCGATTAGCGGTTTGTTTACATATGCATATTTCCCAAGGATGACACCACTAACTTAGGAGTAAAAATGAACATATTGCGATGATGATTAAGTACAGTTACAATTCGTCACGAATATCTTTTCCGTGAACCCGCACTCTGTATAAGCAAGTCTCTATTGCACCCCAATTCCCCCGTATCTCGACAACAATCAGTCCAAAATCAAAACCCGACCGAAGAATGTCCTGGTAGACAGGAAATGTTTGAACCGGCGACTCGTGATCAAAGGGGCTGTATTCCACATGCACAAGCTTGATGAAAGAGCCACTGGGATTCTGCCTTCGGGATGCTTCAATGACCGCGTGGGGAGGTCCATCGTCCACACCTAGATTAACAGGTCTGTAACGCTGAAGATTTTCAGCGTGTTCAATGAAGCCCCAAATAACAATGTCCCGGGGTGCATCCAGCAGGGAACTGCTAGACTGAGTAAGATGTTCGATTGAAACATGAGTAATGATCACAGGGCTCTTAAACCCAATTCCTAGATGACCCCTCGATTGGGGTAGTCTCCAACAGCTTTCTGGAAGATCCGCAGTCAACGCTAGGTTGGGAGAATTGCTTTTGTGCTGGTCTGCTGTCTGACGCCATACATGCCAGGATGATGGGGTAATGTCAAACTTGGAAGTAAGAAGCGGTACATAGAAGGCTCCAGAGCTGACCAGTGCGAAGTCCTGCATCAAAACCAAATTGGCAGATGACACACCAACAGGAATTTGATTGCGTGCAGCCGTTTGAAGATGTTCCAGTCGAGCAAGAATCACGTCATGGTCTGCATCGCTGCTCCTGGCGCCAAAAAGACTGCCATTCCAGTTGAACGATACAACAAGCAGGCCTAGTGTTACGGCCTTGAGAAGCTGAGAGATAAGAAATTCCGCGATGTATCGCATAGCTGAAGTCATTGGAAAAGATGGGCACCTGTGACACAGGGTGATGATTTATTTAGATTATACATTGGACATCAATGAGACTCAACTTACCCTTGCTCAGTTATCGAGTCACATGCTCCTTTTTCTAATTGTTGCATTTCCTCGGGGCCTGTCAATTGATGTGATCGTCACGGCTCATTCCCTTGCAGGTAATTGGCTTACTTACTGGCGTTGAACCAGGGACTCCCTTCATCCACGAATGATTGTTCTTCAAGACGGCTCTTGGCTTCTAAAGGCTTGAGTTTGCGTCCAAATTTCCGAGGGTGCATAATAGTTGTGGAATAACCTGTTTGATAGGTCCGTAGCATTTATACCTAGGATTTTTTGTTTTCTTTGATAGAGACAAAGAACATTGCCTGCGATTATGGCAACAGTTACAAAGGTAGTCGATACAAACGTAATTCCGACAGTCACCTTGCTTGCAAGGTCATATGCCAACCCACGAATCGTCCAACAACGGCATTTTCCGCATTCATAGTCCTCGCTCATACATTTGCTACGATTAATATTGTGACCAGTCTCTGTCCTTCCAAAATACCTTTTCGAATGTGCTCGTTCCCTTTCGTCTTTCCAATTAAAAACAAAAGCAAGGTCAGTCTTGCCCTGTCATCTGCCACCCGACCTTTACGATTTCGATAAACCCAGAAGGAATATCACGACTGACGACATCATCCTCATGCCAGCGTCTTTGATAGAGCGAGATAGAGCGGCCAGGACGGATTACGGAGATAACCGCCTCGGCCATGCTGGCTTCAACAGGGGCAGGCGGACTGGTTGATGCGGTCGGTAGGAATAAGAAGCCCATAGCAGCTCGAATGGCATCTCGCAAACATATTCAGCACAAGAACGAACACGCTGCAGACTCACTTTTGGATAATTTTTGAAAGGTGGGGACGGCTCGAATTCGATGACGATTCCCTTTTATTTTTCAACATACCTTGCGCTATGATGAGGAGATGAATGGGTATGAAAACAACGACATTACCTGGAGCCAAAAGGTGCGTGGCTTTACTGATATATCTGTACAGTTCGTATTTCAAAGTAATTCCATGATAGGGACGAAAGCACAGCGCCCAAGTCACAATCTGTGACTGCCTGCATGTGCATCACCCGTTCTCTCGGTTTATTTCGCCCGGAAAAAGGTAGGGTTGCTGGAAAGATCCAGTAGGACCAGTACCCACGAGTAACTTTCCATTATAAATCTTTCTACCCTTCTTTGAACTCACCATCGATAGCAAGTGAGTGACACTCTTCCTTTCTCCCCTCCCCTGCTGATCTGGTCTTCGTAAGTGGTCTCCACTGGAATGAAGCCCGCTCCCTTGGGCAGTGCACACAGGATGCAACATCAGGGTAACGAATCAGCTGCCGGTGACGGCCACCGCACCATACCACGACCGACGCCTGCGGAATTTCACAAGTTAGTATCTGGTCCCCAAGAAAACATCATCCGTGCAATGGACGTAAGTCAGCCTGTCTTCGAAGAAATCAAGGTAAATAGTGATTGCGCATTATCGTGCATTGCTTATCTTCGATAACAGAAAATTCTCCGCGATCAAGCAGTCATGATGCTTGATTGCGAGAGGTTCATACACGAGCAAGTCCCAGACATCTGGGCAATATATTTGGACTGGGTAAGCTATTATTTTTTTACCAGTAAGTTATATGGACTATCTAAACCTCCTCAGGCTCGCGAGGAACTGGCATCATTTCTATCCAAGTACACCGATGCACAGTGGCCTGTCGAGCTCTACATCGAACATTACTTATCCAAGAAAACGTATGCCAAGCGTCACGCCTTCAGAGCCAAGATAACGAAGTTAAGGCCTGCCCCACAAACTGCTCGTGTTAAGAGCTCTGTCTCAGAGGTAAAGTACCTGCGCCCATACTGCTAATGAATACCGCCGCTTATCCTTTTGCGCCATAGCGTGGTGCGAGCTTGCCACCCGCTCCCGGCGGTCCACCTCCACCTTACGAAGATCACGACTTTGTACAACCTCATGTGGCGAATGACGATAATGTTACTGTCGAGAACTTTCTCAAGACTGTTAACCCTGACATTAGCCACTTCCTCCCCGCGTTTGAGGAATTAGGGATCAGCAGCGAAGCGGACCTGGTTGTTGTGAGGTCGTGGGCTTCTGGTGTGAGAAAGGATTTTTTCGAGAGAGAATTGATGGGGAAGATGAGCGCTCTCCAGATCCAGGCTTTGAATATCAAACTTGGGGAGATGAATTAGCGACCATCCCAAATTTATGATGATCTTTTAGTCTTAAGCTTCACACTTATTTTTTCGTCCAAATCGAGTTCTATTTGCATTTTGTGGGTGACTCTATGTTGCCAATCGGCAACATTCTCTCCCTTACGACGTTGGGAATCAAAAGATTCTTTGATCTCGGAAAGGCGTGGTGGGTCATGGCGAGAGATCGTAGTGTTACTTCTCTCACACATTACCGACACTGGGGGGTCTCACAACAGGGGATGTTTATACAGATGCTGTTTAAAATGCCGCTGCGATCAATAATTGTCGATATATACAGAGTATTGGTAGAATTATTATCGCGGTCATCGACATTGTATTCGTGACTTGTCGGACATGGCAGAATTGTCCATTTTAGAACAAGACCTTCTCCATACTGTTCTTTTCAGATATAACTGATCTGGGCGCCTTTGGTTTTGGGCTAATCGACAGATGAAATGAAAATCATGGCGTCACGAAGAAATCCCTATAAACTTACCGTCGACTCACACTACAGCAAAAACATCGTTGTGCTGACAGCATGATAACCGCTATCCAAGCCAAAAGCACCGCCGCCAGTACCATCCACAAGCCATTGCCAAAGCTTACAGCGAAGTCGCATCCAGGGAAGAGGGAGTTGACGTTGTTTTTGACACCGACAACCAGAGCAACGTTTGCAGCAAAAACAGCAGTCGAGACAACTGCTGTTATTGTGGCGACTATGAGTCCGATTGTTGTGATTGAGTGTGAGCGAAGTAAAAGAGACAACACCAAGGCGATGGTCGAGAGTGCTGCTTGATAATTGGTAAAGATAACCCGACCAAGAGAAAGAGGAATGCAGCGAGAAATAATATGAAGCAGGCCAGACGGACAGTGTGCTGCTGCAGTAGCCGTAGAAGCTTTTGAGACTTGGCTAGATGGCCGTGTAACTACTGTAGGACACCCTCCATGCTTGATGTTACCAGCGACTGGGTTGAGAAGGATGGATGCAATGCATTGCTATGTAGTATCTTGCGTGGCTTTGGAGCTGTAGGCGAGACAGCCTGGAAATATACATAGCTTTGTTACATGATGATGCTCGCAAGGTCTCGCGTACCCAGGCTGTAGGAGCTCGTGAGAGTCCAATTTCAAACCCACTCGCAGTACTCTGAAAATACAAGAGAGCCATTGTCGGTGATGAATAGAATATTATATCTGATAAAGTGAGTTGCTGAGTCGACAAGCATGGTAGCTAAAACTTGAAGCTTGAAGTACAGCAGCAGTGAAGTTACTGGGCTGAACCAATTCAGCATATAGTCCGCCGGTCATTCCCACATAACAGTCATGCTAGCGGAGAGCTAATTTGTATTATGGTAAATACAAAGGTAATTCCGACAGTGAACAATAGGTACACCAATATTTGTAACAGCCTAATTCTCCGCTAGAATTCATGGCATCCAAAGCAGTAGTACATTCCCCTTCAAACTCCAGTGCTCCACCACTCCTTGTACAGACATAGCGGTGGGCCGGTGGCGTTGATGTCTGTGCTTGCATGTGGTGCAAACCGCGCAGGAGAGGCTGTCGAGCTCTATATCAGTAGGTATTCGTGACTTTATCGTCCGCGACGTGTTTCGTCCTGAAAAATATGAGTGCTGATCTGATCAGCTCCACACAGTTCTCAAAGTCGCTGCAGACTTCGACAATCTGCTGGATATTGTGGTAGGCAGTGAGCTCCACTGAGATGCGATCTTGCGTATCTGGAGCTCAAAATCCACCTAGGTCACGAATCCGAGGACCGTTGGGAGCGCCACTAAGGATGGCAGTGTTACGAATGCGAGAGCTCGGACTATGCATAAGCAAGGAGCGCCTGCTCGTGCGCCTGCCACCGAATTCGACCCACTTGCCAATCACCCAGCAGCATCTAAAGTAGTGAAAACCATTTCCCATCCTCGGGGTTGATCTGTCCCTTCTACGCAGGTGATGGCCCAGCAACAACCGAGCCGGAAGCCAAGCTCGACATTCCAGCCTCGCGAGCGGGAGATCATTGGTACCACGTACACTTGGAGTAGTCCGAACAGTGAATTCAACCAAAGGAAGGCAAGCCTGGTGTGCGTCTTTTCTACTTGTTCTCTTTTACAATGGTCTGATGAACACTTCAGAATGCATTCGAAGGACCCGTTTGCAGATCCAAGCCCGCGTGCTCTGGGCTACCATCTCTGCCCCCTTCAACAGCCTGCTGACCTTGCATCGCCCATTGTTCACGGGTATGTGCTGTATTTTCTGCACTAGCTTTGAAATAATGATCCTGTCAGTGCTCTCGACCCCCGATCACCACGAGATGAAAGCATGATAGCTCCTGCTGATGGTTGAACCAGTGGCGGTACCACTACCCGCTCTGCATGAAGCCATGCTTATCCAGTGAGTTGTGCGTTAATCTTTCTCAACGTATCTTTGTCCTTGCTTATCAGCTCCGTTCGGTAAGTCTCTTTAGGCTACACCTCGAGCGACGGGGCCAGTACTGGGTGCATCCAGAGCAGAGACATACCCATCAACACGAAGTTTGTCCAGATCAGTATTTGCACGAAGTCCTACGTCTAACCTAACCTTACAGCGAGCGTCTCCCCTTGATCATTCGCCCGAGTCGCCCTTCTATATATGCCTCCCATCAGGACCACATTTTTGCAGCCCAACCCAGAAACACAATCTTAACATGCCTTCGGTGCCAGCCACCCCACTCCACAGCGAGCCCAACTTGCTCGCCTCGATGGCATTGGCTCCGCACATACTTATTCATATGTGTCAGTGTCCGGACCGTATGCTGGCTGGTGCCAAATGCTTCGTGAGTTCGCGTATTCAAGCTGCAATGGATATTGACCTTTGCAACTTGGCTAAGCTGGAAGCAGTTATGTCGGTTGTGGAAATGGCCGGTAGCGCCCCTGAAGGATGTGAAATGTGGGTTAGGGAAGGTCCCGCCGTGAAGAGAGGTTGGAGGAGACAGAAGGTGACTGGAGTAGTTAGGATAGTTAGGATCGCCATCCGCATAGTTGAAATCGCCATCCACACAGATGTGGATCGACATCCGCATAGTTGGGATCGCCATCCGCACAGATGTGGATCGACATCCGTTATTAGTCAAATTTGCATCCACACAGTTGGGATTGCCTTCCGCACAACTGTGGATCTGAATTAACTGATTCCCGCTACAGCAGTATACATAACTCGGAAAAGCAGGCTCTGCTGCGAGTGGCCGTGTTATTCATGATTAGTAACATTATTTTAAATCCTTCTCCTGACCACACTTAAAATACTAATAAGATTTAACTGATGTTATGACACAAAATTCTCTCCTGAAAGCATTTTAAATCCAAACAAACTTTTGATTCACAGTAAGATTAATATTTGTAACCGCAAGAAAGTTAATGTATTCCACTGCTTGGTATATAAAATAATAGTGTCATAAAAAGTCTACTTGAATCTTGAACGAAGGTAAACAAAAGTGAGGTACAAAATGATGATCTAAGCTTGATTACTACATTGAATATTGTCTGAAGTATAATAAAAACTTCATCCAAGATATCTAGGCAACAAAAACATTGGCAAAAGGGTAAAAAAAACATCAACTTTTACAGTTCAACAAATGTTGACAAAAGTTATTCAAAACTTCATTTGCTATCACACCACAAAGTCAAAGCTTTGTCTAGATTTGTACTGGAAGAAAATTGTTCAAATTGTTAAACTACGTGTTGAGACAATATTGTGGATGAACAGTGAAGTAAGATTTAACTAAGATCAATCTTTTGCATCATGCAAAAGTAGATAGAAAGTTCAAATTTTGACCAGCATTTTGCAGGCAATAGAATCATGAAATTTATTTAAACCTTTTCTAGGGTTTTGTCAATATTTTTCATACCGAAAAAGTCTTTCATGCTTCCAGTGCTTGCGCTGTTGGACGACATGACAGCTCGGTGGGACACGATCAAGGCTGTTTGCGAGCTGACGTCACAACCATACTCACCTCAAAGCACCATCGGAAAAACCATCGATAGCAAGGCATATCTTCTCTTGAGGTGTCAGCCTTGGAGGCGATTTGTTTTACTGCTATCCCTCACCAACGGGTACCGTGAACTGCAAGTACACATGTATGACCACTCAGGTGGTGTTGTAACGCCTGGTATCAATATCGTCAGTGATCCAAACTTTTACCTTCACATCTTATCCTGTCTTGTCTTCGGCAATCCTGAGTGCCTTTGATACAATCCTTCGATCCTCATCTTTACGAAAACACTTCGGCCTGCCCAGCTCGAAATTCCATCAGCTTTTTCTCGCCCAACGACAAACAAACCACCTACTCTAGATCAAGCACGCAAATCCTTAGTCGAATCTCCAATGGACGAGGTTTTCCAGGGTGGGAGTACTGCTCCCCCTCAGATTGAGAGCGCTGTCCCCACAATGTCTAATGCACCAGCGAGTGCCTCCACAACCAAAGCTACAGTAACTCCCGACCCCCCCCCCCCCCCGAGACAGAAATCCCCACAGATCCTCTTTGTACGCATCCCTCACAGTCGATCAGAAAGATATTAGTCAACAACCACACATACGACATCCTTGAACTCATCTTTTCTAGCCAGGGGCTTGTTGGGCGCGGCACAGTCTGTTATTTGGCCAGGAGGGGCAATGAAGAATACATAATCAAGGACCATTGGGTCCTTGGGGATAAAAATGTCGCCTTGAATGAAGTTACGATGCTTCAGGCCATGCAAGGAGTCCGTGGTGTTCCTCAACTAATTGAACATTGGCTTGTTGAGATTGGGCCTCAAGAGGTTGATGAAACGATGAGTTATCATGGCAAGATTTGGCAGAGTATCAAAGGTACCTCACGCACACATGTTCGTTTGGTCTTGAAGCCCAGTGCACGACCTTTACACATGTTCCGGACGAAAGTAGAGTTGATTAGTGCGATTCGGGACATCGTTAAAAGTAAGTGTAGTCTCTGCTCACTCTTCCTTTTGCTGACTTGTTTTTCAGTTCAACAGATAGCTGTTGAAGAATGTGGAATTCTCCACCGAGACTGCAGTCTCAACAACTCCATGATCGAGGACGATGGTCATGGATCCCATGGAACATTAATCGATTGGGAGTTCGCTGTGCGTATTCTTACAGGCCAAAAATATGCTATCGGGGGGACGGTCAGTACACATTTACCTATGTAGACTCAATATGCTGATGTTGACTGTCAGGGAACGGCATCTTTCATGTCCCGTTCGCTCCTGTTCCAGCTCTCTGAAGCTGTTGGCGGTACTGCGATGTCTCAAAATAGTTGGAAGCATGCCTCACATTCCCGTGTACAAGCACCTCCTCTTATCATGCACGGCTGTCAGGACGATCTCGAGTCAGTATTTTACGTCTTCATTTGGATCTGTATTGGGTACAGGGGTCCACTTGGTGTGAAACGTGTTCTTGGGCCTCGGAAGCCATCAGAAGGGGATTGGCTACTGCATCTGTGGTCCACCGACTCCTTCAAGGAGAATGGTAACGAGAAGACCTCATTCTTTTTCCATCCGCATGCACACAAATTCAGGGAGCAATTCCACTCCTACTTCCATGACCTACTTCCACTTGCGGAGGAGTGGTACAAATTAATTAGGAGTAAAGGACCATCACATTCAGTGACATTTAAAGAAGTCATCGATCTTTTGACTAAGCACCTCAACATCCTTCCAAAGGATGAGCCTTCCCCAGAGCTTCTATTCGCGCGGAAGGTCATTGATGCACTCCCTGGTGGACTCCCTGATGCCCTCCCTGGTGGAAAGAGAAAGGAGGTGTCCGAAGTGGTTGATAATGATTTACTGGTCATGGAACATGACATGGCATTTGGGGGTCGGGTTCTTTGGACGATGGAAACCTTGCCCCAGCCAAAGCGGATGAGAACCGGCTAGTATGTCTACTATATGTACAATCTCAGCTCACATTCGAACTCATTGATGTGACTGGCTGCTACTATTACAATAGATGCATATACTTGAACTTTGTTAGCCGAACAGTTTTCTCAGGCAGTTTGAGTCCCGATTATGTTATGCGTATCATTAAACTCACCCATTCATCTTCAACGACGAAAGATGACTCAGACCGACTTTCGCCTAAGTATCCTTTACTTTTTGCATCCCCATTTACCATTATATAAGAGTCTTGTGCACACCTTATGACACTGTTCACAGGCTCGGATCACCTCGTGCAAGATATTTTTCCGGCAGGTGGAGATTGAGTCGTGTTTGAAGCGGTTGAGTGAGTTTTTAGACTACTTAAAGGTGAGTACCTGGAAACTGTCAGCTTGGTGTCTCATCCCTCCAATTCTCAGCCATGCCCGGTAGCCCTAGTAAGAAAAAGAGAACGAAGTGCAAAGCTCTGGACTCTGATCTCAAGGCACTCGAAGGGCAAGCAGGCTCAGAAAAGCGATCGCAAGCTCATGCTAAGGCATCAACTAATGATGTGGGTGAGTCTCAGCCTCGACATTCGGGTTGTCCAGGTGCAGGGAAAGGAGGTAGGGGCGCCCAGCTGGAAAAAATAGGTGCTATCTTGGATGCTCCTGCGTGGACGAGCCAACCGAAGGGCACCACATCCCTTAATTCAGATTTTCCCGTGAATCCTCTTGCTCCAGAGTTACCTTGCAAGGGTCGTGGGAGTCAGTCCAAAGTATTCGCTCCTAACGATTCGAGAAACAACACTGATCGGACGCGCAGATTAAGCAGCCCCCTCCTCCTTACACCACTTCAGAGACATTGGATTCAAACACCACAGTTCCCAGACCACGCCCCAAGAAAATTAAGGTAAGTTTTTAATCCTCAAGCGCTCATGTATTAATTCTACTTAAGAAAATTGTTGCTCCTTCCCTGAGCCTTGAGACCTCGAACAACCAGCCCACTTTCATTCAACGCGAAGTTGGCCAACGGTACAGATTTTCTCCACCCGTTGTTCCTCCTGGTACAGAGCCGGATCTCCAAGCACTCAACAATCCATTCGTGGCTGCAGCCAAGGCTGCCAAGGAGCAACATGTTGCATCTCACAACTCCCATCTCATTGTTGCTGACGCCTTCGAACGTCATCCTCCTGCTGCTCCTACCAATGACCATTTGTTACAGCAGGTACTTTCACAGCCAGTTATTGCGAACCTGTCGGATGATAATCTTGATCCCACACTTTGGTCAATCAACCAGGGCGACTTCGGACCGCAAGACACAGACACTGAAGGTTCAGACGCTTCCGAGGAGGGGAGTGATAGTGAGGATACGTCTGATGGAGACGATGATAGTACAAACCAACAAATTGGTTGGGGAGAATCTAGAGGACGCCATAATGCACATCCTGGTACGTGATTGACCATTGTTGCTGCGATGGCATTAATCAGTGACAGGTTTTTCGGAGGAAGTCCAACCATCCCAACCTCGGGTTGCCGTCGCTCTTCCTACCGACTTCGAATTCCAGCACTCGTGGGATGAAGATGATCAAGCAGCTGGGACTTTGGCGTTCGATGATGCTTCAGGCAGTGACGATTCGGAAACGGGTGCCTCCCAGGTATGACTTATTGATATATTTGAAGTGAGCTCACATTTTCATAACTTCTAGCCAGCTGATGTACTGGAACTTCACCATAAGAAAAATGGTCGTCCTCGCCTTCCTGATCCTGCCCTTCTGGACCTACTCCGTGGTGCCGAAACGGCCAATACATCAGGTTCAAAGAAGAAGGCAACCAAAGCATCCAAGGACCCTGGCGATGGTCCCAAGTCCACACAACTAGCCTGGTACAGTCCCCGCTGGAAGCGCTTTCTCGAGGAAGCGAAGGGAGAGTGTCGTGTCCTGCACACCCTAGAGAATGCATTCCTGAAACTTGTCCCTGACTTATCAACCACCATCACAGAGTTGCTCTCAGCTTCTCTCGTTCAATGAATCGGAGATGGTAATCAAGTTGAAGCTGGTATGTCGTCACTTCCCTTTTGATATTGTATTGACTCGCAGCATCCACCAGATGTATGGCCTGCTCGCAAACCTGATATGGCAAGACTGGTATGTATCTTTCTTGTCATGAGCTTGTGTCTCATTTTTTTTTAGTTATACGATGATCTATCAACTTGGCGGTCAGACCTCAAGAAGATAGTTGTCGCCATCACTCCTTCTGTATATGCTCTCATCCCGCCGACCGATCTTTCCACTCAGGAGCGCGCGAATTGGGTCAAAGCAGCTGCTGCAGACTTGCTGGATAAGTCTAAATATTTGCGCGACGGGAAGGATGAATTGGGGAAGACTAAAAATTTTGCTCACCCTGGACTTCGCGAAGCCGCCATTCTTTTCCTCTACGTAGGGTCTTATTGCATCGCTCATAGGCGACCAGACATCTTTTGCAAGCAGATACCACTAAATTGTTTAGCTCTCGTCGCTACAGCGATATCGTCTCAATATTAACAATACTGGGAATGTGCTGACACTTTTTTAGTTCAACTGTGTCTTCGATGGTCTCAAAAAAAACGGGAACGGGAAGACTTACCCCAATTTTTCGTCGAAGGATTACCTGTGCATATACAACAGAATGTTGAGACTACTCGAAGACATTATGAACGACCCTTATCATGGCCCAAAATTGGTGCAGCGGCTTCGCGAGTGGGCGGAAGCAGGATGGTATGGATATGAGGCTTTGCATAGTATTCGACACTAACTAGTTTATCTAGGGCCGAGTTTTGCAAACTCAACAGCACCGACACATCCAAGCACATCCACCTGCAGATAGAGCTTGATTAGAAGGAGCTCCTTGTCTACCAGTCACTAATATTAGCTATCATCGGTTTTCTTTTTCATCATTTTATGTCTCTGACTGTCATGTGATTCATTTGGTTCAATATATGATCATTGTGCGCTATTATATAAGCTCCACATTATCTGTGAATGTCTGTACAGCAATATATGGTTATCATTGTGCGCTATTGTACAAAGCTCCACATTTTTAAAGTTGTCTGTGAAAGTCTGTACAGTAACAATTGGAACTTTTTAAGGGTTTCTGGGAATTGCTAGAGGGATCTGTGAGTATGTGTACAGTTATTCACAAAGTAAGGTGTTGCTGTAGTGAGCTGGCAAATAGGGACCAAGCTGTAGAACTGGGACACTGTACAGCTCTGTACAGAGCCTAGTGATTTACTGATGTGGTAGTAAAGTAAGGAAGACTTGAACAAAATTTCGAATTTTTACCTTGCTGCAAATCTACTGTAAACCAATGTCGAAATCTTGGATTTGCAGAGCTGAATAGCCATGGAATAACAGGTATTTGCGAGGTGTAGGTATTGGTCGGGAAATATGATAAGGCGAAGTCAGAAAATGGTCTGATTACATTTGTGACCTTCCCAGGATCTCTCAAAATTTGTGGCACATCGACTTTGGGTGGGGTTTACTGTTGTCGTCAGGTTTGGGTATGATTATACAACTTATCTATCTCGGAATAGGGTAGGACTATTTTCTCGTTTCCGCAGTGACTGTTTCGAGTTTGTTTTGCTGGGTAGAACCGGCAGAACCGGCAAAACTGCCAGTTCTGCCAGATGGCAGAACTTAGGCTGAGTCGACAAATAGTCTATTACACATGTAACACTACTCAAATGACAACCCCAATGATGCTATCATCATTTGCTCGTCCCAACTATCTTCACCACCGCCATCATGGTCTACAACATCGATCTCGTCCGCGGCTGCTCGTGGTATGATCCCTTGGTCAACACGGAGAAACTCCTTGAAAGTAGCTTTGCATTTGCTTGTTTCATTTGCTCTTCTGACAGGGGGTAATCTGCATATCCGAGCAAAGATGACACCACCTTATGGTTCTTCACTGGAATGATGGTGCTACTAGCAGCAATGACATCACCTGCAGTGGCAGACTGGGAACTACCTGTGAGGATGGTGTCTGATGTTGCAGTATTGCCTGTCTTTTTTATGATGAAAGAACATGCTTGTTGCCGAAGAGCAGAATTGACTTTTGTGCACTTGTTTGCGATATGATTGGGAAGGAGGTTGTCACGGCCTTGGATACGTCCACCAGGAGAGTCGTCACTATCACCACAGTCCTTACACTTCCAAAAATAACGATTGGAGTTGTTAGAAACTTTTCCTAAGCGCTCGAAGTTGTGATGATTTATTCAAATCGAACAATGCACAGTTATTGTTAACTTTAAAAAGATCACTCTCCGCGACTGTTGTGCTTCTGCCAGGTTCTGCCAGTACACTATTGAGAACCTTCTGCCATCTGCCTGGCAAAACCGGTATTGCCAAAGCTGTTGGCAGAACTCTGCCGTTCTGCCCACAACACTAGCCCACGTGTTTATGCCCATTGAACGCTCCAACTCCCTCATGATACTGACAGACTCCTTGTGGTTGTGTGAGCGGTCATCGAGATATGGGGTCCAATCTGCTTGGTAGAAGAGAACAATTTTAGGAGCAAGGAACTCTTGAATGGTCCATCCTCGCGTGTTCCAAGTGCTATTTGCGAGCGCACCAGACTCTGATGAAGGAGGAACATCCGATAGGTAGATGATGGTGAGCGCTGAGTGGTGATACCAGACGAACATGGAGTTGACTGATTGCTGGAGCTCAACATTGTTGTTCTGGTCGATGCAGCACGTATCGCTCCACGCCCAATGATGCCCCATATCACGCACAACTTTGCAGAACTTCTGCAACTTCACCACGGTCCTGACCAGATCCAAGTCATATATGCCCCTGCCCTGAATATCTTGCAGCAGCGGCTCGTTCCTTTCCCATCTATGAGATAACATGACCCAACTAAAGTACTTCGTGACTGCTTCTTTGAAGGGTTCCCTTTGGAGCAGGGCATGCATCACCAACGAATGTAGAAGCTCTTTGTACTCTGTGCTCTCCGTGAATGCATTGATCTGCGCGTCTCGATTGCACAAATGTCCAGTAGAGGTGTTGATTAGACGAAGTGGAGCATTTTCCAGTTGGGTGTGGATGGCTCGTCGAATAGCATCTTCTACTTCAGATGGGCTGATGAATTGTTGGCGTAGCTCTGCAGAAACTGTAAGTCATCTTCAAGTTGGCGCTTGAGTTCCATGGAGCTTACGTCGTATCTGTGGGTCGGGTGCATCGTCCAATTTGGAGAGCATGATTTTGAAGGCCTCGAATGCATCATCATAACGCTGTGATCCACGAAGCGCTGTGTGCTTCAATTCGTACCCAAGATAAGATGAAGAGTTAAGCTCAACAACCTACAAACATAATCACAAATGTGAGAACAACAACGGATATCGTCCGCACCTTTTCTGCATCGGAAAGGGCCTCCGCATAAAGCTTTTGGTCCAACTTCACCTTACTTCGATGTGCCAATTACAAGGAATCGGTCCCTAATGCTGCGCAAAGTGTGTTCTCGATAGACCAGAGTTGAAGATTTCCATACTTGTCTCCACTCGCAAGCAGTTCTCCACTGGGAGAAATTGCAACACAGAAAACCAATGCGGTGTGTTCGAGTGCTTGTTCTATTTGTTGGTATGACCTTGTGCTCCACAGGTGCATAGTCTTATCTCCCGAGGCAGTGGCAATGAAAGAGCCATCGGAAGAATTGGCAAGTGACCTAATGTAGGAAGTGCAAGGTTGACCGATTTGTGCCCCATTCGACGAGTCCCAAAACTTGATTGTTTTGTCCGCTGATGCAGAGATAAGTTGCTGGCTGTCAGGCAACCACACAACACTGAGAACGAATTCTTCATGAGCGTCGATTTCGAGAAGGAGCTCGGCGTTATCGGTGCTCCAAACCCGAATGTTGCGCCATGTTCCTGTAAGCCTGCAGCTTACCATTGGATACCATCACTTGTTTGTGCATCGTCATTTGTTTGTTCATTGTTTGCACCGAACAGTATATAGACCTGACTGCCCCTTTGTTCGTATCTTATCTCTTACTGTACCACTCAATCCCATACGCTCATCCATGTATCTGTGTCTGTTGTCTGTTAGTGTCGGCTGTTGACTGCAACAGCCTCACACTTGTTTTTTACGTTCACTGAGCGTAACTACTCTGTTCACCGCACCATTCACACCATTACATAATTCAAACCGCACCGTCGGGTATTGGCCTTGTGGGTCAACCCGTGGTACATAACTCAAACTGCCTCCCTGCCGTACGCGTATTCCTGTTCTTCCATCGTCCATCACAACAAGGAGTCACTCTAGGCTTGGAGCAACACTTAACAACAACTCACCGAGTTGGTTGTCACCTATTATCGATCACGAACTATCGCCCCTCACTTCCATCGTATCTTCTCATGGGGATCTGAGAATGCGCGCCTCAAATGACGCGCATATATCCACAGATTCGGACTCAACCGACTCTAGCTGCAAAACACACGCCAACCCTAAGATGTCCTCCAAGGTGGCACGTGTAGAACAATCTTCCACAAACAAACCCCCCTTCCTCACCATGGGCGAAGTGACGCTGGAGGCCCTGCAATCATGGGAAATGGGCTGTGCCCAATTCTTCATGCATAAGAACATCGCTGAGGACGATATGGTGAAGAAGATTGCCTGGGGGATGCAAGACCCGCGAATTCAAGATTGGTACCTTACGAACTAGGAGCAGATGGACCTTATGACATTCAAGGAGTACATGGCGGAAGTATGTCGGGTTTGGTTGCCGTCTGGGTGGGCAGATATCGTTTGGCGTAAGATGTTAGCATCTACGCAGGGACAACGCCCATTCAGCGAGTGGGCAATCGACGTACAAAGCCAGAACACTCTCCTCCGAGGCACAGCCTCTCACCTAACAGACGTTAATGTTCTATATCACTTAGAATCTCACATGAACGTCAAACTAGCTGCCGGCTATCATGCGGAGAATATTGTGGAGGACGACCTTCGGTTATGGATCAAGAAGGTGCGGATCCTTGACGAAAAATGTTTGCATTACCTAGCAAGGCAGAAGGAAGCCATTGAAACAGCTCTGTGCACCGAGCAGGCACGCTCTAACATCGAGAAGAAGGCTGGGACGACAAGTTCTAGCAACCGCTATGCGGCGAAGAGCTCCACGACCTCAAAGGGTACAGGGACTTTGAAGACGTTCACTCGCCTACCTTCTCTCACTGACGGCGAACACCTCCTGTTGAGGGAGAACGATGGATGCTTTAAGTGCAGAGAGCCATTTGCAGGCCACACATCATCAAACTGTGTCAAAGGGTTTCCTGATGGAGCGTCTTACAAGACTCTGACTGCAGCGGCAGTAGCCGCTAAGAAGAGTAAGAAGAATGTGGTGGCTTTGGTCGAGGTTGAGGAGGAGAGCGACACGGTCGCTGTAGTTATGCCGTCTGCAGTGTTGGGAGATGGCACTGACTCGGACGATGAGTGCGTCGCCCCACTACAAACTCCTCACCTCCGGTGGGATTGTCTGGTAGACAGTCCCAATGTCTCTTCTTCTGTCCAAGTGTCGGCACTGATTGATCACGGTTCATCCTTAGTTCTTATTGGTGAAGATCTCGCCAACAAACTCGGTTTACATTGTTGTCAACTCGCCAAGCCGTTGCTAGTGTCCATTGCATTCTTGAAGGACAAAAAACAATTTCTCCTTTCGCAATACGTCAAGCTTTCATGTACTTCTATGGACCATGTTTACAGATCACGGACTGTACGGGCTATTGTTGCTCTGAATCTTTGTATGCCTTGTTATTGGGAGGACCGTTCCTCCAGCACAATTGAATTGTGGTTGATCACGAGCTGCGTACATGTATTGCTAAAGACGCTAACTACGATCTTCTACAGCCTATTGTGGTTCCTCCTGTTCAGTCACGGACAAAAGGATCGTGGGGACCGGATTTGCTGTGGGCGAAGAGGAATGTAGTGAGCGAACTGAAGGCGGTCCTTCCCGAATGGAAGGACATCATTGATGACGAGTGCGAGGCAGTCAACGGCATAGACGTCGTGGCCACAATACAAGCACGTATCGACAACCTGGTGTACGAGGATGAACTGAAGGACCTCGACACAAAATATAAGTCCAAATTTGAGGACCGGTTCCCAGTGGATATCCCGCATAATGACACTATGCTGAGTGATGTATTGTTCTGCTTGAACCTAAAAGATGCTAACAAGGTAGTCCAACTATGATCCTACAACTGCCCAAAGAAGTATAGGGCTGCCTGGAAGACTCTGCTAGATTCACACGTTGAAAGCGGAAGACTTAGGCATTTGGACAGCGAGTGGTCATCTCCCTTGTTCATCATTCCAAAACCGGATCCCACGGTGCTGCCGCGCTGGGTTAACGATTTCCGGCGACTAAACATCAATACAGTGGCAGACAACCACCCCTTGCCACGTATCGACGAAATTCTGAAGGACTGCACTAAAGGGAAGGTCTTCGGAAAGATTGATATGACTAACACATTTTTTCAGACACGCGTGCATCCCGACGATATGAAGTACCTGGCCATCCATACGCCATGGGGGAAGTACAAATGGACAGTAATGCCTATGGGCGTGTGCAATGCGCCCGCTGTCCATCAATGGCGCATGACGGCAGCCCTGCGACATCTCATCGGGAAAATCTGCCATGTCTACCTTGATGACATTATCATCTGGTCTCAAACGACATCTGAACATGAAGCAAACATTGAAAAAATGCTAGAGGCACTGCGAAAGGCGCACTTGTTCTGCTCGCTAAAAAAGACCTCACTATTTAATGCCGAAATTGACTTCCTAGGGCATCACATCTCGGCTTGAGGTATTGAAGCAGACGGGTCGAAAGTGGCTCGTATTCTGGATTGGCCACGTCCGAGGAAGGCGACAGAAGTTAGGTCATTCCTGGGTATGGTTAGATACCTTGCAGAGCACCTTCCAAATGTCGCGAAACACGCGAGAATACTCAATGCGCTCACGATGAAAGCAGCTGAACTTAAATTTCCACAATGGTCGAAAGCGCACGAGGATGCTTTCGTCGCAATCAAGGAGCTAGTAGTAAGTCCGAAGTGTCTAACAACTATTGACCATGATAATCCAGGGGATAATAAAATATTCCTGACGTGCGATGCTTCGGACTATGCCACCGGTGCTATGCTCTCGTGGGGACATACTCGCAAATCGGTGCATCCAGTTGCGTTCGATTCCACGCAATTGAGGACGGCTGAACTTAACTACCTGGTGCACGAAAAGGAATTGCTGGCTATTATCTGGGCATTGAAGAAGTGGAGGCTGGAACTTCTTGGTGCACACATTGAGGTTTACACTGATCATAGGACCCTACAGAACTTCGCGATGCAACGGGATCTTTCAAGGAGGCAGGCGCATTGGTCCGAATACATGTCGCAATACGACTTAAGTATTCACTATATCAAGGGCGAGGATAATGCTGCGGCAGACGCGTTGTCACGTCGTAGCGAGGGTGGTACGTCTTCGGACACATGCGCAGCCATATTGACAATTCAGAGCAACCCAAACTTGCATGTGAGGATCCTCAAAGGCTATGACGAGGATCCATGGTGTCGACACTTAAGTGGACTGGTGGGCTCCTTGCCAGGACTGAGGAAAGGAGAGGGAGGGCTGTTGTTACGACGTGTGTCGCGTGCGGACTGGGATGATCTAACAGCGACGATCACAACAGTGATATCTCGTGCTGAGAGTCCGAGGTCGGCTCCTACAGAAGAGCAGGAGTTGCGTACATTTGTGGAGGCGAACGATGATAGCGGTTTACAGGCAGAAGGGGTCTCAAGTCCTTCTGAAGGTACGGATCTGATGTCAAGCAGGTAGCTTTAGCAAGACAAAGGTTTCGAGGTAAAACCCAGTAGGATTAAAGTAAGGAACATCTACTTTAATCGTCGACCTTATATAAGGCTACTCTATCGTATCTAAGCTCAGCTTGAAGCTGGGTTCTAATCTGCTTATCTATCGAGTCAGAGATACCATGCATGAGGCAGGCTTCTATCTAGGATAAGGACCGCGAGGCGTCCTTCTACCAGTACATGAGGCAACACGAGGCTTGCCTTCTATCTTGATATCATAAATAGGTCTTCTAGACCTATGTCGTCATCTGTTCGTCATAGCGGTCCAGACCGCTTATCTAAGCCGGCATCTTCCGGGCTTCTCTTCTATCTGTCGTCTGTCATCAAGGCCTAAAGGCCTGGGTATCGTGTCGTTGCCGTGCAAGGTGGCAGAGGGCTGGTCGTGTAGCTGGGGGCTCACGTAGTGACTGTAACAGCTGTTCTATGTCGCGGATCGTTTAGTGGTGCCGAGGGTTGACAACTTGCGTGAGCACCTGTTTCACACCGCTCATGATGCCGCTGGGCACTTTGGCACTGATAAATCTTATGCACTGTTACGTGGGTCATATTATTGGCCCAACATGAGAAAAGAGCTTATAGAATCATACATTCCTTCATGCGCGGAGTGCATGAGGAACAAGTCAAAGACTACCACGACGCCTGGGCCACTGCACCCGCTGCCTATTCCTGAAGGCCATAGTGACTCTGTGGCGATCGATTTTATTGGTCCACTGCCTGAAGACTGCAGGTATAATATGCTCATTTCAATGACTGATCGTTTGAACGCAGACATTAGACTTGTACCGTGCAAGGACAACGTCAGTGCAGAACATTTCGCATCACTCTTCTTCGACAATTGGTACTGTGAGAATGGACTGCTGAAAGAGATTGTGTCTGACCGCGATAAGATCTTTTTGTCGAAATTCTGGTGTGCGTTGCATAAACTAACAGGAATTAAATTAAAGATGTCTTCAGTGTACCATCCAGAGACTGATGGCACTAGCGAGCATACTAACAAGTCGGTCAACCAATGTCTGCGGTACTTTGTGGACAGAAATCACACAGGATGGGTGCGCGCGCTTCCAAGGGTCCACTTTCACATCATGAATTCCGTAAACGCCAGTACCGGTTTCTCCGCCTTTCAGCTACATCTTGGAAGATCACCGCGCATGCTACCTGCAATAGTGGAAGAAGAAGACATACAGATGACGAAGACACTGGAGGAGCAACGGGCCAACGCACTGCTTTCACAGCTCAAACATGATGTTACATCAGGAAAAATACCAAATCCTCATAGTCATAGTGGCAGCTATATAGCGCTACATAGGCAGTGTAGTACTATGTAGACATCCAGGCTACTATATAGTACTACATAACTGGTGTAGCCGAAACCAGGACTATGTAGAGCTTCAGGTGACGGTAGTAGCAATCTGTAGTCATTGTAGCACAGTAGCAGCAGTAGTTAGTTCTAGTCACTACAAGTGGAAATACAAAATGTTTCAAGGTCAATAAAAGTATTAAAATAAAAATCATGTGCCGTCTCATAGACGTTTGCGCTCGTCCACCCAGGGTCAACAGATGGTCCCATTTTTGGAATGAGGTGACACGGACGAACCATTTCATCAAGATGGATCACGGCTGCATTCTGATGCAGCTGATGAGTTGAATGCAACACTTGACGCAGGCCAGAGGAGGGATCTGGCTCCCGAAGTGGTGTGAACCACTCGACATAAGCTAGTGCTCGGGAGTTCATTCCAACTAGAAACTGACGAGGGAGGGTAAAGATGATATGAACTTGTGCAACTCGCACACCTAGTACAGTATCCATTTCAGTCAGTGTGACATTGAAGCATTGAATAGTAACCAATGCTTACTTTCGAGTGTCCGCAAATTCGTCGTCCGAGCACCATCACTTATCAGCGCCATATCGAATCTAGCGGGGGACCAAGGTTTTCGGCTGGCAGGACCAGGCTGCACTTCAGGTGTCACTCTAATGTGCCACTGCTTTGGTGAGTCACTGGTGTGTGGATCAGGCGGGGTAACTATGATGACTTGTCGATAAACATCAAACTGGTCATGTGGACCGGGGATGATGTTATTATGTGGCATGTGCTCGCGCATGAAAGATTTGAGGGCGGGGAGAAACATGGTGGCGCCATGTGCAGTGATGAGGCGATCAACGGACTGCCGAGGGTGTGGAGGATGCTTGGCAAGAATACGGATCACATCAGTGGAGGATGACGCAGTGGGGGATGACAGAATGGTGTTTGTGGGGGCAGCAAACTCTTCAATCTCGGCGTCCAAGTCTGAATCCAAGTCATTTCTGCGGTTGGGATATGTGTGACTGGACACTGTGGCTGACTGGGATCGTTCCAACAACCAATCAAAGTAAGAACTACGTAGGAATACAGCTTCCTGCCATTGAAGCCATAAGGCCATTTGCTCCTCGTAGTCGCGTTTGTTGCTGGCACGATAGGTGTCTTTTGCGAAATCAATGTGTAGTCGTTCTGGAAGCTCAGTGTTGAAACCGTTGGTGGAACCAAATAGAGTGATGGACTTAACAAAGTGTGAGATTTGATGTAATTTAGGAATGTTGAAGTGTTCGCGAACTTCAAGCTCTTGCAGGATGTCTTTGTTGGTGTGAAACACCGCAAGCGCGCTCTCCAGACCATCGAGGGATTCAGCAGTGTGCATTCGAAGCTGTGCATAATATGAAAAGTCTAGAATGGCTTGTGCAACTACTAAGACTCGACTAGCATTAATTGTGTCAGTACAGCCTTTGTTGAGCACGGCTTACTAATGCTTACCTTGGGACAGCACCAGCGAGCAGACCAACAAAGACACACTGCATTTCTTTATGCTCTGTACCCGTCCACTGTCTCACAGTCGAGATACCCTTCTTGAAGTGCCGAAGTCCAGGGTAATCTGGAATTGCTTTGAAGTGTGAGTCCATTTCATCTTCACCGACAATCTCAAGACACCTTTATGGACCTGGTGGAGGAGGTCAGGTGTGAAGGCAAGAAAGATGTCGGCGTGAGGGAGATTTGCCCAGAATGGGTTGAAGACGGCGCATAATCCATTGTCGTTGAATTGAATTGGATGCTGACCATTCTTCCGCTTCTCTAATATATCTTTTGTCACCTCAGGGTCCCGCATCTGCGAAGTCAACGGATCCCCTCGTTCATCGGCAGCGACCAAACACTTCGGACACCGATTTTCTTTACAGCATGCAACAAGACATTGTTCTGGGAAATCGGCTACATAAGCAGCAAGGATGGGGAAGACTCGACAGATTAACGAGTCAGTGCAGACCATCTCAACACCATTTCAACCGGCAGCAACGAGGGGTTTGAGGAGCAAGGACATGCAGTGGTGGAAAAGCCTGTAACCAGCAAGGGAGCGCGCGTCAGAAGTAAAGCAATCAAGTTTTCCAGCAGGTAAGTATCCTATAAGGACCGTTGCTCACGCTGATGTTTGCCGCCTCTTCTCTTTTGCAATGTTTCCAATGGTTAGGTACATGGGCCACGCTGATTTATCGCCTCGAAATTGCGACAGACAAGTTTTGTCGGACACAAGAATTATGGGTGCGATTGTCACACCTTTCGGCAACAGTTTCTAGACGCCATAGGTAAGTACTTATCATTTTCGCTTTTCCGGGTGTACTTACTTGCTTGTCGCACCACCAGTCAGCCGTCCACATGTCATCAATTACTCGGTGAAGTCCTGCTGGGTCTCTGTATGCTCGCGCAGGTGTGTACACCATGTGATCACGGAACAATGGATTTCCAATGAGGTCTTTGACGCACTTGACAGGATCTCGCATCCAGACTTCGACTTCTTCATGCAGCGTCTGGCCCTTCTCATCTGTTTTATTTCCCTGGACCTTAACCTTTTTGCAACTCCAGGCTGTCGCGTGTGGAAGCTCATCGACTTTCTGGAGGAAAGATCTGTTATTGTGAAAAGAAGGTTTCGTTTGGTTTTGTGTCTATCGCCATGGTGAGTACAAATCCTTCAAAATTCAACACTAAACTTGAACTTACTATCGGTAATTTCAGAAACTCGTCTGTTCGAGTCTGGCCAAGGTTTTTAACAAGCCATTCGGCGAGTCCCCATTCCTCCCTTGTGACCTGAAGTTAATTGCCTTGCAGATATGACAGGCAATGATTGGTACGTACCCACCATCGAAGGGAGCCCATTTGTCCTTGCCCATACACTCCTTATACTCCTGAAACCTCTCAAAGCCAGTTTTGCCTTCACGCAGTGTTTGGCCAGCGCCAACACATTGTTCAAAATATTGTGCGTGGTCCTCATCTTCAACCTCCTCAATGGTCACCCTCTGATGTTTTGGCACTGCTGGGTTGTCTGGATGATCGGGATTGAAAGACTCAGAGCGTGAGCGGTGATGGGGGGAATACGAGGAATATGAGTCAGCATGAGCTGAGTCACTGTTGGTGTCGGCTTGGTTTAATGTTCCTAAATGAGCCTGAGGTGCGCTAATGTCTTTTTGAGTTTCAACCAGCAGCTCCCACTGCCTTCTACAGTCAGGTTGATTATTGATATGTCTCCTGACACCTCCCTTTGAGCCCATCTCCTTGGCACAGAAATCACAGTGAGGCATGGTGAGTGGGGTGCTTGCTAACTTCAAAACATTTTTTGATGTTCTTTTTTAAAGGCAGGCCCTGCCGGCACACTACACTACCCTTGGAGACGACTCTTGGAGACGACTTTTGTTTGCGCGCTTCAGGCCTGTCACGGTGGATTCAACTTGTTTGCACGCTTCAGGCCTGTCATGGGGGATCCAATGGATGACATTGAGGTCGTATGACTCGAGAACAGCGAAGATTGCTCTATGGTGAGTGTTTCTGAGGTTGCTTTCTAACTTCGTAATATTTTTAATGAGTTTTTTTTCAAGGCAGGCCCTGTAACTAACCCTTTCATGGAGGCACCGATCTGGTGCGCACTTCAGGCCTGTCACGGTGGATCCAGCGGATGACATCGAGGTCATACGACTCAAGGTATGTCTCTCCCCCTTGAAGATTGCTCAGTCGACAGTGCTGATCCAGAATCACTGTCCGACTCTATCCTCTATCACTGGTTTGGACTACTGATTACTAATAAGTGATTTTAAAATGCAGGCCCTGCCCTGGTTACTGTGCCACACTACACTAGTCTCGATATACCATGGGCGGCAAGCACTAATTCAAACAGTTGCGCCCATTTGGCCTCCTCACAGTGCCTCACTTCTGCCTCCCAGCGCTCTACAATGAGTCTTCACAAGTTTGCTTGCAGTAAGGTGAGAGCTGGACCCGGCACCATTTCCAAGAGCTGCAACTTTTTTGCATGCTCGCAATTCTTCAATTCCGCCTCCCAATGCTCCATAATTAGTTTTTGCAAGTAGGACTGACTAACCATGACAGGGCTGGGCATTTGGTGAAACGGCGGAGGAAGTGGATACATAGGCTCATCAAGCTTTGGCCTGCAAGCCGGTGAGCATTGGGGCTGTGATGAAGACATGCAACTAACCTTTTGACAATAATATTTCCATTTTTACTGGTAGTGGTTTTGTCGCCTATGGCTGGGGACACTGGACTATACAATTTGTCAGAGCACGCCGGTGAGTGTTTGATGCAGACTACATACCGCTTGTAGACTGAGATAACCATGGTAGGGAAATGTTGCACTGCAGTAACGGTACACTCGCTGCTTTTATCATTTTCCATCTGTTGATCACAGCTTTAGCTCTGAATTTTACACGCCCTGAAATCAACAAAAAAATTCAAGGTTTAGATGTCTTTGTTTATGTCTTTCATAGCGCTATAAAATCAGCTTACTGTGAGCTAATGTTCCCTTGCAGACAACCATGGCTACCAGTCGCAAGGTCGCCTCGAAGCACGCAAAATTGAAGGACATGCAACCAGCACAATGAGTACCACCACCTACACGCACCGCAAGTGGTCAACAGTGACGCCCGACTGAAAAAGAAAACTACCGTGGTAAGCCCTGACAATATTGAGCGAGAATGTCTCACTCACTAGCGACTCTACAGTCTCTGAGTCTCAGCACGTCACCTATCGCCAAGAAACCAAGGAAAAGAAGATAGAAAAACAGAAGAAAAAAGCACTGAGGGCTGCTTACGATGCTGATCCCAACAGCTTCAAGGAAGAGCCATCTGAGCTGCGTAGCGACATTGATAGGGCAGAAGAAAATATGGTACGTTCACCCATTTTCTTTGATGCAACTCAGAATAATCACTGATTAAATTTTTTATTTAGTTCTCAGATTGCGACATGGTGTCCAAGCTGTCCCAGTCCAAATCAAAGGTACTGACATTCAGTGCTGGTAAAATACCCCCAGTGTCGCGCAACGCCAGTGCCATGCGCAAGGCTACTACTACAGGTATGTGTCTAGTCTTTTGATTGTATACTAAGACTAATCTGCCTCTACTACTATCGAGCAGCTCCGACTTCAAGTCCATCCGATGACTCCGAGTCAGATGAGTCAACAGACCGTGAGTCTTGCCGACCTGAAGACCACATTGATGACGAGGACAACGACTACATCGCTGAAGAACTGTTGCCGATAGCTCAAGGGTCCAAGCATCCACTTGACGACTCGGAGACTTTGGATGATGGCATGGTACTGCCGAAGATCAAGAAAAATTCAGATGGTTCACGCCATCGCATGAAAGTCAGCGACTTCGATGATGTGTCCAAAGAGATTTTGGGGACGGCAGCCTGTATTTTCCGGTGTCTGATAGTCTCCCAGGCGCCATTTCCCGAGAACATTGCTGTCAAGATGCAGTTGGCAAAAGCAGCCTGGCATGAGGCATGTCAAATCAAAGGCATCAATGTCAAATTGACACCTTCAGGTGTCAAAATGGTGAGTCGTCTGATCTCCGTGTGTTCTTCAACTGATTTACTATATCATACTTTGCGAAGCTATTGACCCGCACATCACAAGTTCATGGGGAACTCAAAATGAAAATGTGTTCACTGACAGCATCTTTTTTCGGTTTCCAGTTGAGCAATTCCAACGATGTGATACGACAGAATAGGGATCTAGCAGAGTCTTTGAAAGACAGTTCTGTATTTGCTTTCAAGGTACATATTTTGATGATCTACATGGTATTTCAAGTACTAACTCTTTGGACTAATAGGATTGGAAGTCAAAGAAGGGAATCTACAAGACAGAGTTACTGCAACTGGGCATCAACATCATGTGGTTCGCGAATCGACACGACGAAGGCGTCATCCACCATAAATATTTTAATCCTATGCCCGTCGAAGTTATCGCTCTTGTGCTTACAACTGTGAGTCTCTTATTCTATATTCAATTTGATGGCGCTGATGAATCACTGGTAGATCGAATGTTGTATCAACGAATGGTTACAAGGTCTGAAGGAAGATATCAAATTCACATCGGCTACTTATGGAACTGTCTACCATGGACATTTCTGCTCCTTGCAGCGCTTCAACGAGCGGACGGCGCCTTACAAACTCCTCGACAAAATTCGTGTCAATCTGCACGACGTGGCTCGGTGCATTGAACAGTGTTCTTTTTCAAAATGATATTCTTACTTTCATGCTTTGAAGTGTCCATGCAGGTGTTGACACCCTCACTATCTTGTCGTCTGCATCCCGGATCAGTGACGCGGCATTCGAAGATGCCATCCGAGAGTACCAACTTGAGGAACAGGATGATGCGGAGGCTAGCAAGTCGTAAAATAGCTTGCTGGTTCATTATTAGGCATTCAAATTCAATTGTTTTCGCGATTCCACGTGCTACTACTACTACTAATATGTGATATGTGTGACTATATAGCTGCTTGAAGCTGGCAGTAGTAGCGCTACATGAACTATGTAGTGCTATGTAGCTGCCTGTAGTAGAACTTAAGGGAACTATGGTAGTACATAGTAGCGCTACCTGGTTCTACATAGCACTATATAGTACTACGTAGTACTACATAGTTGCCTCACATGCTATATAGAGGGGGGATAGCTATTTGGCTATACAGTCTACCCTGGCTATATAGTACTATATAGTCACCTTGTTTTTTCCTGATGTATGGAGGCTCAAGATAACTTGCTTGCGGCGAAGGCCTCACAAGCAACTCAAGTCAACAAGAATTGTGCACCCGCGATGACGTTCAAGTCTGGAGATCGGGTTCTGTTAGCAACCAAACATCGCCGGCGCGAGTACATTCAAAAGGGAGACAAGAGAGTCGCAAAGTTTATGCCTAGGTATGACAGACCGTACCTCGTACTCGACGCGCACCCAGAGACTTCAACATATACCCTGGATCTTCCGAATTCGCCCAACATATTTCCTACGTTCCACATCAGTCAGTTGCGCCCTTATCGTATGAATGACGCCAACCTCTTCCCGTCCCACGAACACCCACGGCCAGGCCCGGTTGTGACAGAGGATGGCCAACACGAGAACTTCATCAATCGTATTGTAGATGAGAGGAGGGTGGGACGCGGGAAGAAGTATCTGGTCAGATGGGTAGGCTTCGGCAAAGAGGACGATGAGTGGTTATCGAGGCGGGAGGTTGAAGACTGCGAAGCTTTGGATATTTGGGAGAAAGAGAGGTCAAAAAGATGATGGGAAAGGGTGTAAGCCTGCGGCTTACCATTGGACACCGTCACTTGTTTGTGCATCGTCATTTGTTTGTTCGTTGTTTGCACCGAACAGTATATAGACCTGACTGCCCCTTTGTTCGTATCTTATCTCTTACTGTACCGCTCAATCCCATACGCTCATCCACGTATCTGTGTCTGTTGTCTGTTAGTGTCGGCTGTTGACTGCAACAGCCTCACAGTTCCACATGCTAATTTGAGCCCATCTGGGCTGAAGGCGACACAATCCACCGAGCTCGGACACTTGAGTGTTGAGACCCAGTGAAAATCGACAAGAATCGGGTAGATATACGTATATAGATATCTAAAAAATAAAGGCCCATGAAATCTATCGATGTATTTCGATGTATTTAGACAAATGAGACTTTTCGAGACGGAAAAAGAATGACATCGAGAAACAATTTAGACGTTTAGATACGATTCTCGATCTGTTTAGACCTACCGATACACATTTACATACGAAATATCACTCGATTTGATCCAAAAACAAATCTAATGAGAGCAAATGACATTATCTATAGGTATCGCTATCATTAGGTGAGTAGGGTATCGCTGCTCGCTGCGCGCCTCGTCCGCCATCCCGCCATATGCCCTCTAGTCATCGTGGTTGTCGTCCACTTGAACCAGTCCCGAGGAAGCCACCTATAGGACACTTGGTCAGTACATGTGATAGAATGCAGGCAACAGAACTCACCTGAACAGATACTTTGCGCTTGTATAACTAGAACAATTGTAGACAGAATTAAATAGATGTTAACATAAGAAAAAAAATGACGCACCTCTTTGTTGGCAGTAGACAACCCATTCCAGTAAGTCACGAAGACACTCGCTGGTTCCTTTTGATTGCCGTTCGATTGCCACTCGAGGGCGCAAAGATTCCTAGAATGATAGAGTTAATCTTGCTATGAAAATGATATATAGAACTCACCGCGCCGTGATCTTGGGGCTCACGCGCATCGGCTTGGTACTCGGCTGTTGCTTCTTGATGGCATCAGGCTTCGAGTCGAGCTAGAAACACAAGGGAGTGATTGTGTTGAGCGGGGGTCGCGGCGGGGATGAATGACATGGTGGGCGGAGGAGAAGATGCATGTGGTTCAACTGCACCGACTCGGTCACTCGGATATGATAAAGTTAACATATGTGCAAATGCAAGAAGTTATGCACCTACAATATGCATGTACATGTGCAATATTGCATGCATATGCAAAGTTTGTCAAAAGTTCGTTACAAAGTGTGCAAACAAAGTTTGACATGCTTGCTTTTTTACCTTTGCAAAGGTTCTTTGCATTTTGCACAAAATTAGAGTTTTACCGTCTCGAATTTCTTAGATTTCTATCTATCTCATTCTGTACTTAGACGTCTATTGCTACCTATCTACCTCATTCTTGTCGATTTTCACTGGGGTTGAGAGGACAGCGCCAGTCTCCGCATCCCATATAATTACTGTGCTATCCCATGACCCGCTTGCAATTCTTTTTCCATCGGGGGAGAAGCACACCGAGGATACCCGGCTCGTATGCTTCACCCGCGGCGTGTTGAATAACATTTTCTTACTCTGGACATCCCAGATGATGATGGCTCCATCTCCTCCACCGCTCGCAATTCTTCTCTCGTCTGGCGATACAGCCACTGACAACACGAAGTCACTGTGTCCCTCGAATGGTCCTCCTACAAATGCTCTTTTCTCCACGTCCCACATCCGCAGGGTTTTATCCGCTGAAGATGTGGCGATCCGTCGACTGTCTTTGAAGAACGCGACTGCCGTCACTGCCATGGTGTGGACTCGCATCGTTTGTGTCAGCGCCGGTTGGGTTATCTGTGCCGGCATCGAGCGCCTTTTCACAGTAAGATATGCTTGTTTTCCTACATTGAGCAATCCTGACATGTGGCTAGACAGAAAGATGGACGGTCAGTAACGTTTGAAGTTGACGAGTGTGCTCTGTGCTGCCGTCATCAATCTGGTGTGTCGTAGTAGAGCTGGATTTTTGTCCATAACCCAATTTATGTAGGCTCTTTATATATCCTTGGCTCATCTCGCGTTGCTACAGCACGGATCTAATTTCGTTCGCTGCATCCAGTGCTTGTACTGGATCAAGTATATTCTGCTCGTCGACGTTTCAGATACTGATGCCATCAGCTGCACTGCCTGTAGCTTGTCTGTCATGTGGTGACACAGCAACTGGAGCCACGATCCCGAATGTCCTTCCTACTAATGGTCCTTTCTCTACCAAATACGCGCATTGTAGTCTGAACAAGTGACAACACATCGACATCGACTACTGGCACCATCCTCGTGCGCCCTGGCATCGTCGGTGTTTTTGTTGTCTGGTCCGGTGTCTTGAATTCCGTCACAGCAATATATGCTGTTCTTGCTCCATTAAGTATACTCATCAACATATCACACTGGCCTACTAGACAGGGTGATGAATGTTCAGTAGGATTTGAAGTTGACGAGGAGAGTACTCTATAGTTATGTCGTCATTCTTATGTGTCCTGAGTTATATTCTTCTGATAATCCAATTGTTACCCGACTGGTGCAGCTTATCTGGGGTTCTTGATAGCTCTCACTTGGCTCTCACCCTTTCTTGTCACACTGCCACAGGCTGGCGTGGCGCTGCTTCTTGGCATCAACCCAACGCCCGTTATACATAAATTCTGTGCACAGAAAACCCGCTCCACGTCTGGTACTCTCACGGTTAATTCTGCAGATGAGTCTATTCTATTGTATTTCATTATCCTGCGTGTATAGCACACATTACGAGATCTACAGGGCCCAGAACGATCTCTAGGAGCCTTTTGTTATTGATGGGACACCACACCCGGTACACACGACAACTAATGGATTTTACTCTATGTTACTGGTTCACGCTCTGGACCTCATGTGCAAGTTTTTTTTCGTTGGTGATTGTGTTCCCCCAGATTGTTGTCAACTTTCCTCTCCCCCCTCGTGAGGACGAGAGCCGTGTTAGTCTCCCAGCAACGCATTCGATGCAAACGCGCCTTCAAGACACTTCAAATAAACCATCATCTCATCAACGCTCTTTATGGTTTTATGCAATACTGTCACGTCTCAGGTGTAATAATTGACATTGGCAAACACAATCTTTATCTTGGGATGGCTGGACTATGACGGACCTTCCTTCTACATGGTCTGACTGCGGGCGACGAGTGTTGAAGTGGATGTAAACACAGAGTCACCTCTCACCCACCTAGGCTTGGCAAATCTACCGGCTACGATTGACGTACATGTTGCACGGGTGAGTTAGATGACCCGTGCTTTCAGCTTGGCATCGGTTAAACTGACGTTGCATTCACTGTAAAGTGCAAAAGGACTTGAGCTTGAATGGTTTTACTCTTGCCAAGGATGGGGAGTTGCCGTATCATCCGCAGGACTTCCACGACCTCCTAGTACTTGAGCACGGACAGCCGAGCACCAGGCATTGGTACTTGAAAGCCTCTGTGAGAAATGCATTAATGAAACCTTGCAGTGTCCGACACTCATTTACATATTAGCACTTGTACTAGTGTTGAAGTGGATGTATGCAAACACTGGTAGACGCACCCATGAGACATTCATTCGGGATCGACAATTGAACATGCTTGCACGAGTGACTCAGTGGATGAGCCGCTGTACCAGTGTACCTCCATCTTGCCGATGTTGCACTGAGGCTTAGTTGATAATGCGTCGAGGACTCGAGGTGCAGAAAGATTTGGAAAGGTACCGCAAGTCGACCCGCACTCAAACAGAAGACGATACCAAACTCGAGTAAATGAATTTGCTTGAGTAGACAACGACGTGTGACATGCGAAAGCAAGATAGCACTGCACCACGAATTCGAAAGTATCCCAACTGAAAACAGGATCAGGTCACACACGTTCGTGATTATTTAGTACTCAGTGTCCAGCGAACGTTAACGGTTTGAGATGTAGATAAAACTATAACGAATCGGATGGACGAGGTATACGCTTTACACAACGTTCGTGCAGTACTTTGTAGGACAATTAGATTCATGATTATTCAACGAACGCAGATTCTCACGCCTCTAGTTGTCATGAACGGCGAGATGGTCATGACTGATCCGCAACCTGCAGCCCCGCCATCGGACTCGATACGAATAACGAGGCAGGGCAAAATCAGATGCTGGGTCAAGCACGGATTGGACTTTTTCCAGGTTGGTTCTGTGGCTCTTTCGTTGACCGTTCATCTGACAGAACATGGGTTCAGGAAAATCCTGACAAGCCATTGACGCTGCACACTTCCCCGGCCGATGTTGCACAATCTACCATCCCTCGGTTGATTTCAGTCGTGGAGATCCTGAAGCGTGAATATTTGAAAACCTTGGATGTGTCGGCAGGACAGCTGACAGGGCTGCATCAGTACAATGCACTACAATGGGAGCAACGTGGCGAGATCGCTGCAGAAGGGGAAGATCGAGCGAGTACCATAGCAAGAGCTTTGGAAGGTAAAAAACAGTGCGTATTTTGCGTATAGATGATGACGCTCGGGCTGATGAAAAGATAGCCCTAAGCTCACGCTTGCGCCCTATATGAAAGTCACGCTGTGCAGGAAGGCTCTTGCAGGAATGCATGACATGACGTGAGTAACGGTCATGCGCAGATTTTTGTCCGACCTGACAAGCTTACAGATACCAGACACCACAAATACGACGACTGTCCAAGACTACAAAGGCGAGGGTAAAGAAAAAAGCAAAGCAGCATATGCCTTAGTCATTATTATTATTTTCCTATAAATCTGTGTCCAAATATTATTATCAGAAGTAAAGTTCCCAGGGGGTTTCCGATTCGTTGATTCGTCCAAGTTGAGAACTCAAGTTTACTATTATTCGTCCAACTTGGACTCCTCAGGCTGCGTTGTTCTGCTAAACGTCGTGCTCATCGTCAGTAACGGCGACGGAAATCACCAACAACTAATTTCAGCCTAAACTTGGTTCTAAGCGTCCTTCCAATAATCGCCGGACAGGTTGTGCACTGGAACATCGCCTGAACTGCCGAAGGATCTCCGACCTTTTTATAAAGCCCTAACTCAGCTGCGCGCATGCCTCGCCGCACTTCTGCTCGTCTTACATCCTCTGTCACTCCACAAGCACCTTCAGTCTCTTTTCAACTTCCTGCCTCCGATGCAGATCCCAATATCCTTCAACTCAGGCGACACTGGAAATGGGCTGCTTTCAGCCAGTTCTTCTTCACATTTAATACTCTCTTTGCCGTGAATGACGTGACCTTGATCGTGAGTACCGATTCTGCCTGCCTCTGGAACACCATCTTATCTTTCAAACTATCACAGGATATTGAAAATGACCTCGCATACTCTACCAACCGCGTTCTGTCTCGCATCATGACAAGATTGCTCGTCACGTTAACGCAGGACAGAAAAATATCGTAAGCTTCCCTCCATCGTGTGCTGTGGTCTAAATCCTTTTATCTGACAAATGTCGATTCATCAGCGCTGATAACTGGCAAACTGCTTTACGAAAGCAATATATGAGACGGGACCCAGATGTAAATCCCATAGGACCAATTCAGCAAATATACACCAATGTCGCGGAGTCCTCGCGCGCATCCACAGTTCCCCCATACCCATCTGAAACTGGAGAACAGTTGGCCCAAAAGCAGGCAATCAAAAGCATGGTGCACGAAGACGGAGCGTCTGCTGACGGCGACGCTGTCCCAGACGATTCAGCAGATGCGGTCGAGGTCAAGTCAGAGGAAACTAAGATCGATGAATCGAAGGATGAAGACGCTGGGTCTTCCTCAGAGGCCTTACAGGACTCCGAGCAGCTACAGCAGCAGATTGATTGGCTCGACCTTCCTACAGTGAAGAAACTGGAGTCCTTACACACTCTTATGGAATGGCAATTCCATAACCCTAATCGTCTACGTACTCAGATGAAAGACGACGACGAGAATGCCGAATGGGTAATACCATGCCTACTCCATTCTCTAACTTACTAACTAGTCTTTATAGCATATAGAGCCAATAGGATATGACGCCAAGAGTAATGCCTACTGGCTCATAGGTGGTGTGTGCCATTTTTTCATCTCGTTGCCTAGCCTTAACCTAGGTTTAGCCGACCGTTTGTGGATTCAACGTGAACCTCCACGTCAGACACTCAAACGCAAGCGGCACACAAACCTCAACGCATCGAAATCCAGTGGCAAAAAGTCTTTCAACAAACGCCAGCGAGTCGACCCAGAACCAGAGCCCACACCTCCACCCACGACACCTGCCAGAGCGTCCCGTCGGCGCAATCAAGCACAGGCCCAAAACTCGAGCCCGTCCGGTTCGCGCGGTGCTCGCGCCGCTAAATCACGTGCGAATCAGAAGCTTGATGCTCAGGCGAAGGATCTCGCTGAATTCCAGCGCCAGATGGCTCGGAGCAAGTCTACTAGTGCCAGACCTTTGACTCCACGCCGGCCTTCCGGGATTCGCGTGAGTGCGCGGCTGCGCGGAAACTTGGCAGACGACGAGTGGCAAGAGGTGCCAGACGAATGGCTTTCTCCTAGCGTACATGATGGAACGGAGGAAGAGGAGAAGATGCCACCCAAAGCTAAGGCGAGGCTGAAAACGGGGCTTGAGAGCGATGATGACTCGGTCAGCGATCTCACGGAGCTTAGCGAAGACGACGATACAAATGAAGGGGACGCCCAAGAAGAAGCCGATGCAGACGAGGATGAAGAACCAGACGTTAAAGATGAAGAATCTGAAGCGGAATCCGTACCGGTTCCCGATAAACCAAACGGCAAGATTGATATTGATGAAGAAGACAACGAGCTTCCATCTCTTCCCGAAGGTTTTATTGAATGGGAGACGGTGAGTTATTTATGAGCGATTAGTTAAATCCCCCCTTCATCGTGAACAGATCTGCATCACTCTCGAAGAGTGGGAGCACTTCCCCGAGCAATTTGAGAAAGCTACCCACTATGCTGAGAAGTCGCTGTATAAGGTATTGACGCAAACCATAGTCCCGGTAATAACTGCCGAGCTGAGGGTATGTATCCCGCTCCATTTAACCTTGGGAAGCATCGATGCTAATGTAATTTTAGGAGGTGGAGAAGAAGAAGCGCAAAGAAGAAGCGGTCGTACATCGCAAGCGCTCATCTCGTATTGCTATCAAGGAAAGTGAGAAGGAGCAAGAATTACTTGCTGCTAAGAAGCGCGCAGAGGAAGATGAGAAGATGAGTCGAGCTCGGAGGGCTGAAACGCGTCGACAGAAAGAGGAAGCGGACAGGATTAAGAGGGAGAATGCTAGAGAGCAACGCAGGAAGGAGCGAGAAGCCAAGCAAGCTGGAGAGCTTGAAGCTGACACCAGGTATGAGTACTTTGTGCATACCCTGCGTATTCTAAACGCCTCGCTAGCGCCAACGTGCCTATCAATGTCGTGAGCCAAGAACCTTCCTCGTCTGCCATACCGCATGGTCAGATGGGCAAGTTTCCAACATTGTCTGTTCCTGTTCCCGTGAATGGATCAGGCGCTGCTAGCAGTGGATCGCGGACACCAGCCGAAGACTGGGAGCTGGATTGCGAGGTCTGCGGTAGACAAGGGATCAACCGGGTTTGTCTCTTTTTCATCTCGTATTCTTGGCGCCTCACATTTTATGATAATTGTAGGATGACGGTGTTCCCATCATGTGCTGTGGTCGATGTTTGAAGTGGCAGCATATTGGGTGCCATGACCAACGAGACGTCACTGCAGGTCGCCCGAAGCGTAACTGGGATGCCGAGGACTTCATCTGCAGAAGATGTCACTTGTCGGGTTCTAGGGCTTCTTCGTTTAGCAATAGCCAATTGCCAACGCCAACCGATCTGAAAGCGGTGTACGGTTCAGTCGGAACGCAGCCCTACTATGGCAACCAGCAGAGTTACTCCCATGACCGCTATCCCAACGGAAGCTACTACACTGCTGGCGCGACAAGTGGGAGATACAGCTACGAACACCAATCTGACATAAGGTCATCTGGCATGCCTTCTCAGTCTTATACTCAAGCTCCCCGTACTCCTGGCGTCACTTTTGCTCACTATCAGCCCCAGCAAGGAGGATTTTCGACATCACGTCCATCTTACTCCATTCAAGAGCCTGTTCCCATAACCCAGCAGACTCGTTATCCGCAGCCTACATCTCCAGTCACTGGAGTGAGTCAATACCCCGGGTCCTTCCAGGTGACTTGAATATATTCAGTTCCAAAAACCATATTTCTAACTCATTTTAAGACCCATCCATCCCCCCACATCCAGGTGCAGCCCCAACACCGGTGGCAACCCTCCAGCTATTCTCGGAACGATGCGTCTTACAGCATGAATGCGGTTGTCCCGCCTTCTTCATACACCTCACAACAGCAACCCTACTATCCTGGATCCTCTTCAAGCCCCTCAGTTCCCTTCTCTCAGATGCATGGTACGAACCATCAATCCGTGCCCCAATATTCCGGATACCAACACGCCGCTCCTTACCAACAAAGTAGATGAGTTCACATACGTACGCTAGTTTTTCGCAGGGAACACTTTGATTTATCAAGATATTCGTAAGTGAGGTCCATAGTTAGTGGAGGAGGAGCATGTAGAGTACTGAAACGTGTTGTAATGAATGTGCTTGGTTGGGCTGGAATGTATCATGATAAATCTCAATGTCCATGAGTGCGTTGACTCCGCAAGGTCAGGTTATCATGTTAAGACTTCCCCTTGCAAAGTCATCCCAAACTAGGCTGTTAAATGTCTGAGCGCCTACCGTCGTTCATTTTCTCAGTCTGAAGTCGACATCAAATCACGCTATAAGCAATGAAGAAGGAAATAACACCACGGGCAACGGAGCAAGGTAAAGTCATACATACTGAATCTATTACAAGTACTAACCTGTACCAGCCAGTAATCTAACCACCAACTTGTAATTATATAACAGTGGGTTTCGGCGAGGTTGTATACTATGTGACCCAGCGTACAGACTGGCCTGAACCACTGGTGCACGCTATCATTGCTTCCTTGTTGTCGCCGCTCTACTGTCCCGACTCAGACCGTAGGCCAACTTATAGTAACGAGTGTCTTGTCAGTGCGTCCGAGTCCTTAGAGCCACGCGCTCTCCGTGAAGCACCTGCACCGGGATCATACACTGCAAGGATTTTGGGATCTCGATTCACTCAACAGCCGCAGGGTTAAATGTACTTGCCGAGCTTCCTCGCTACGGTGGCAAGAGACCTACTAGTACTGTTCCTCTTTGGTCTCAGCTTCTCAGGCTATGTCGCACTTATCCGACCAGGTAAACGTTGTCAGCCATCGAGGTCACCAAGGCTCTCTGTCTTGAACAAGACGACTGTGTGCCTATCACCGAGGCTGTTGGCCGAGTACAAGGAAAGGGATAACTCTAGACTCGTAATCAGTCTGACTATACATCAATTTGTAAATTCTCACCTCAAATTGATGTATACTCAGACTGGTCACGAGTCTAGGATAACTCCACTATCTCAACATCAGGCCGCCTTCCATGAACTAGACTAACACTTACCTGCTTTCGGCGGTCACCTTCCTTTCCGAGCTCGGGATCACAGACCAGCCTGTCTTCGGACTTATCGCTGATGACGCACTTGGCGCAATTACTATGGTGTGGAAGACAAATAATGTACGTGCTGCCTCTGCTCACTACTTCCGAAAAAGCTCACGAGTGACGTAGCAAATCTATGTCATGGAACGTGATGTCCAACACTATGATATCAGAGACCCTCTTCAGGCACTACAGTTCATGTCTATTCTGCCGCGCCTCGCGCGCCATGACCTGGGCCTCTGTCATTTGTCAGAGAAGCAGTAGATCTCAACCAAGTTCGCTCTAAGCTGTGGTCCAAGTTGCCCAGCGGCAGGAGGACAACAGATTGGCGGCAACTGAGCCCCATTAATAATTCAACCACAACGTCGCATGCTTATTCCTCCGACAACGAATTTGCCGTACAAAGAATGAACGATACCTCATGCTTTCTAAGTGGCCTAAACAAACTATCTCATACATACACACGGGAGTCGCTGTAAGTGTGTACGCGATTTATAAGAGCTCGATGATTCCAAAAGTGCACTCTCACCGTGACTATAAGATACTTACGAACTGATCAGCACGGATTTCAGAGACAACTTTGATTCAATCCAGTTGAGAATCCTTTTGCGAGTGTAGCATGCAGCCTCCGTCAACTCAAGACCAGAAACGTCCGACACGAAATCCACTCCATGTTCCCGGACATTTGGAAGGGATTACGACAAGCCAATATCTTAAAATTCACGGGCACTACCTCAAAGTACTTCAGTACATGCACTTGGAAGCTCTTTGAATAGTATTGACATCATCTCTTACTCTGAATAACGAGACGCTGGCGTCCGTTGAGTATTTGATTCTGCTGAGACATGAGAGGTTCATCTCTAGTAGGTGTATGACTGCCAGACCTTCATGACCACCTCTTCGCTCGTACACAAGACATCGTCTACTATCTCCTCGAGTCCTTCTTGAAATAATCACTATTAACAGACGTAGCTGTGGCCATGTCGAATATAGTTTCGCCAACGCCGAGGAAACGATCAGCAACTGAGCGCATGGTTGGGTCTGATATCAGACTGGTGTCAACGCTGAAGAGCACATGAGCCGGGCGAAACCGATGTCGTTCACATTAATGTTGAATGCGGGACATGAGGCTTGAGACACTCACGCGAATCCACTCGACCGCCGGATGCCGGCGACGACAGTTGAAACTAGCACTGCGTCTACAGCATAATGCACGATTCTGCCTAGTGCCATGAAGTGATAATAATTGTGTCAAGTAAGAGGTGTGCTAGCTTGGATGATGGTGGTTAGCGATCAAGAATTGTGTGCGCACTGCGAGTGCGCAAAAGGAAACTCTTCGGTACAGCGTTCACATGTCCCGCCCTAATCTCCCCTAGTCGGACAAAAATAGAACTCGAAGACAGTCTCCTTCCATATTAGTGGCCGCCCAGACGACAATGTCGATGGGGCCAACAAGTTCATGATCCTTTCATTTGGAAGTCCTACACTCATCAAATTCACTTGTTTGGCCGCCCGAGCTTGGTGCAGCACAACTACAAGCATCAGATAGGCCCCACAACTCCAAGTTCAAGCGGATGCTCGGGCAGCCCTACAGGGAAGCAGTTGTAATGTGTGCGCTCATTGAATATTTCGTTCATTAGGCTACACCTGGAACGTCCGCATCTTGGAAATACTGCACATTCTTGGCACATTCTGTAGCAGGAAGGCGCGCAGTGACAAAGACTGGAACACTAACATAGTCCTCGACAGCATCAGTAATTTCAACAGGTGTTGATATAAGAGAAGTAACACAACTTGGTGAGCACTGAGTATCAATTCATATCCTTCTAGGGAGCTTTAACAAAATGACGGTTCTGCGCCCAAATGCCATAGGGACTACTTACTGTTTCATCGTCGACCTCGATGTGACAGACATTCATCAAATGGTTGCACTCTATCGGGAAAAAGCACATTTTTCATGGAGCTAAACTGCGCTTGACTGGCATGCCGGCCTATTGTCAGCACTATGTGCCATCGATCAGCTATCAGTTGTTGAAACTCTGCTAACATCGATGTCGATGAGCGTTTATCCAAAGTCAATTGGCTGACCATAGTGACTACTGGCTTCGGTAGACTGTAATTCCGCACGGCTCAAACTACCATGATCTGTATCAACGATATGTTGCAGTCGGATTTCTTCAATAGCATATTGAAGAAATGAACAAACAGATCTATACGTGTGGAATGACCTTGCGTACCAAATTCCCCAACAATCTCAAGGATGTGAATTTGGTACATAAACAACCGAGGTACGCCATTACCGGAGAAACACTACCTGCTTCTCCGGCCTTGATACAACCCAGGCGGCTTCATGAATGACGCCCAAGCCGACACGTTCCATCAAGCCCTCATCTTGACTTACCGCCATCACATGCAACAAGCATCCATCATAACCCATAAGGTTCCCTTCGTCATATACGCTGCGCGAACTGGTGCGGGAAAGGACGATGAAGTCGAGAGAAGATGGCAGAACAGGTTCTAATGGCAGGACGGCAGTGCCAACCCAAATGGGAGGAAAAGATGAAATGGAGAGAATATCGAAGAGACCGTGAGCATATGCACTTGGTTCTTCACCACCTCGCCGTGAAATGCGAAAGTGGCTGCAAGTCGTGCGGAAAACGAGAGTGCCTGATTCTAGCGGTCGATGAATGTCTAGCGTCAGTTCCGTTGGGTCTAAGATCCCTCGCGGAGCAGAATATGCATGTTCTTCTTCATTTGCTCTCAAAACGACCCAGGATACCTGGTGAACAGCAAGCTGCACCGTATCGCCACTGTCGTCCACGATGTACCAAGGATCAACAAGTGTCTCATCCACTGATGGTGCACTGCTCAAATTGCCCATCCGAGTCCTCAAATATACATCCACTCCCCTGTAGATAACACCGCCACGCCACGCAGCCCATGTCCAAGAGGGCCAAGGTGAGCTGCCTCCGTCAGGGAGCAAACGACGGGCGCGAGGTGTTTGTGGATCGTGCTGCCAGAGAAGTGCGAGATGCATGTCTGGCAACATCATTCCATATTGAAAGGTTCTGTCTGGGTTACCGAGCTCAAATGCCATCGCTAAAGCGTTCGTCACTCCAGTAAAAGCATCAACGACATCCGATTCCACGGTGAGATTGCGTCGTGTATACCTATCAACAGCTCCCATGTAACTCGAAACTGACTGAAGGTATGGGAAAGGTTCTCCAAATGACGACTGGAGGAAGCTGTGGGAGAGTGGGAGACACTTGCTTTCGGCGACGATGTCTTCGCAGAAAATGTCACATTTGCACTCAAAGTAGACCTGTGGCCCAGTGAAGTATATCCTTCGGCAGGAGAGCGCACTCTCTTGATATGTCCAACAACGCGTATTCCACGTGGATTGAGCGAGAGCCTCCCCAAGTCTTGGAGGAGCCACGTAGAGATGAAGCCCTTGAACGACCTCGATGTGCTGTTGCAGTGTTCTAGTTCGTGGGCGGCATCCTGGGAGAGGGTCTCGAGCCGTCATGGCGCCAGCAGCGACTATCGTGAGGTGAGACAGGCCGTAGACCAAATCCATAGCACGTAGCTGAATGGACTTGTCAAGCAAATCGTCTTGAATGATACATAGAGCATCGATCCATAAGTAACGTTCACCGAGTTGTCGAACGAACACAATCGAATCAGTGATGGTCTCGGGTAGATTCAACGCGTTCAATCCGCCAGGCGTGGAGCGTTCCTCTATGTTACCTTTCGTCGTCCAATATTCTGCGCCGATGCCTCCCCAAACATAACTGAGGGTGAGATAACGCCAGCCAGAAGGCACAGGAACCACGGCCATCGAAACTACGTCCACCACCCTCACAAACCCCGGCAGCTTCCTGTACATTTTCCAAACGTTTCCACATTTATCTCCATGGTTCTGCTGGCACAGGCTAATCCACTTCCGCACCAGACCAATATCCACGGTGTTCTTCACCCTACGGCCATGAAGGTCGGCTGGTCTCCCGAATTTGAAAGCATCTTCTTGCAAGAGGTGAATGATTAACGGACTTCCTTCTCCTAAAGCTAGATGTTTCTTCCAAAGGCCCCCTACGTCCTTCGTCTTGATGACATGCAAGCGGTAGCAACGGAATTCAGGCTGATAAAAGGGCTTCCGAATACACCCACAATTCTTCGAGTACACCCCGAGCCCAAGCCCCGAGAGATCGACGTGAGGAACCTCATCCAACTTCCATGTTCGACGGACATGAAAGGATATGAGGCGGCAGAAATTGCATTGGTAGGATTTCTCCAAGATGGACGAGAGCGAACCAAGCGGGATCTCCTCCTTTGGTGGGATACCATCGAGGAAGATCTTGTGAAAATCTAGATTTGCACAGACGGGACATAGGAGCGTGGACGTGACGGTGTGATCCCTCTGTTCGTGCTCTTCAATCGCGTTGTGCCGAGTAAGTGGGCATGCTCACCTGACTATGAGCCTGTGGCTGATCTGGATTTAGGAGGGGGGCGGATTCAGAGGATGCGATGTTTGTTTTGAGTTTGCATGTGCGGATGACCGATAGCCAAAAAGCACAAACTACAAGAGCGGCTCCTCCGATAATTCCAACAAAGACCAAACCATGATTTGAGACCTGACGGAGGGTCTTGGGAGCATCAGTGAGTTGTGCTTTAAGCCCTTCATGGATGACTTGAATACGTGATAAAAAATGGCGGAAAACATCGTAGAGACATGATACCCACCTGGAGAAATCATAATGATGAGTTGCGAGGTTCACCTGGAGGAATTTAGTTTGACCCTAGGTAGGCAAGAGATGCGCGACGGAAACTGGTATGACAAGCTGTGTTTCATTGGCAGTGGGAAACGTACCTTTATGTACATCGCTGCCGTAGATAAACCTGTCCAAAGATAAAGTGATACAGCTAGCGCACCTCTGCCTTGAATCATAGAATCACAAATGGAGCAGCGCTGAGCGGGTGATGGTGTTCTTATAACACACAGGTCGTTCAAAGATAGCAGAAAGGTCTTTCTCCATACGTAGCGCTCGATGAAGGCGGTCAGATGAGGGTCGCATACCACAAGCATTGATTGGCTTTTTTACTGCGTTTTCGGTGCTGTGATGTTGGGATGAGACATTAGCCTGAAAAGCCGAAATATACTGCCCTGCGGCCCCTGCCTAAGGCTCAGTGATGCAAATATTGGACTGAGATCGAAATTAGATCCAGATTGGAAAAATGGTAGCTGTAGACGACCTCCGCCTAGATCTTACACACCGTCCATGTCTCCTGCGAACTGCCCGGTCATACTTGGGCTTGAGGAACAGGTAAAGTCAAGTCTATGCATTCCCTAGAAAAATAGCTCATGGATTTAAGATAGTCTATGAATCATGTAGCCATAATGATATGCGAAAACAACAGCCGAAACAAGCAAGAATCCATCACTGCCTGTCCTTGAACATTTTCTGGATAGCTTCACTCGAGTACGATTTCGGACGTTCCAAAGCTATAACATACTTTCAGTATCCCATCAGTCCAGATTAGATAAATCGACACTCACGAGCACCAAGGGCACGATCCCAGATCAACTGAGCAGCCACCCCAAACGCACGGGAAACACCAAACAGCACGGTATAGAACTGCATTTGATGGAGCCCATAATGGGTCAGCAGTACACCGGAATGGGCGTCCACATTCGGCCACGGGTTCTTTGCCTTACCCGCCTCCAACAAAATACTAGGGACGATGTCATAAATCTGACCAACGAGTTTGAAGAGAGGGTCATTGGGAAGGTTCTTGAGGGCGAACTCGCGCTGGGCGGTGTAGCGGGGATCAGTCTTGCGGAGGACGGCGTGACCGTAGCCGGGGACGACTTGGCCACCCTTGAGGGTGGACCAGACATAAGATTTGACGGCATCGTCCGTGGCATTTTCACCGATTTGAGATTGCATTTTGCGGAGCCAGAGGAGGACTTCTTGGTTGGCAAGGCCGTGGAGGGGGCCTGCGAGACCGTTGAGGGAGGCGCCGAATGCGAGGAAGGGGTCGGAGAGGGCGGAGCCGACGAGTTTACCGGTGTGAGCGGAAACGTTGCCGCCTTCGTGGTCGCTTGGGTGGTGTTAGTTTGTGTTGATTAGTATAAATGAAGACGTACGTGTGGATGGTGATGTAGAGACGAAGGAGCTCGACGAAAGCCTCGTTGTCACCGAAGCCGAGAAGGGTTGCGAGGTTAGCGGAGTAGTCTTTGCTGTTGTCGATGGCAGGGAGTTTTCCATCACCAAATACGTTGCGGTATATGCGACCTGCAATGTTGGGGAGTTTGGCAATGCTAAGGGGGAAATGAGGATTGGTTGACTGAATGGAGGATGAATACTGACAGATCCATGGAGTCCTCAAATGTGTAATTCCAGTATTCCTTCTTAGAGACGCCATCTTGGTATGCCTTGGCAAAGGCAGAGTCATGGTTGAGCGCGGTGACTGCCATGGAGAACTGGCTCATGGGATGAAGGGTGGGAGGGCAGCGGTCGATAATCTCCTTTACGAAATCAGGTATCTCAGCGCGAGCAGCCCAGTCACGGCTAAGCTCTGCAACCTGTTCCTTGGATGGAATTTCACCAGTGAGGAGAAGCCAGAAGAGACCTTCTGGAAGGGGTTCCGAGCCACCTGGTGCTGCAGGTAGAAGACTCTTGCACTCGTCGATGGACTTTCCACGGAAACGGATACCATCCTCTAGACAGGCGTGAGATGGGAAATATGAGAAAGACAAGATGACAAGATGACAGACCTGGGTCGAGTACGGAGCCATCCCAGATGAGAGCTGGGAGACCACGCATACCACCATAGAGTTGGTCGACTGTTACGGGACCGAAAGCCTTTTTACCATGCTCTGCTCGTATTGCTTTTACCTGGGAAGGAATTAGCGTCACGAGGGTGAAATAATAGAACACAAACCTTTTCTATTTCTGTAGGGATGAGCTCGGCAAGACGTTCTTTTAGAGTAAGGTGTCTTGAAGCTGTTGTTGAAGAGAATCGAATTGAGGTACGTGCAAGCAGTGGAGAGCGTGACTAGGAAGAAGGATTAGTGTTAGCTTTTACAGGGTTAAAGTTGACCTACGACATTGAAGACATTACGGAGAGCAGTAGCAGCAACCATGATGGAGAGTGAAGAGAAGAAATTGAAAGCCGGGGTGAAATTGAAATTGAAATTTAAGAGGGAGAATATCGGAAAACATCGGACCACGGGAAAAATGTCAACAGTGGGTCGACGCGGGAGCAACGCGGGCGAGAACCGAACCGTGACCGAGGAAAATGCCAAAGCGAAAGAGAACGGCGCCGACGGCGGCAGCGGCGGTGGCGGCAACGATGAGCAACGCAACTTCAGTGCTCCCACAGGTCAGTCCAGTTAGATCTAATACATAAAAGACTAAATTTTGAACAGAAAAAACATTACAGACAACGAGCGCATGCGAATCCATTCTCTGACCATTCACTCGTGTATCCATCATCACCTGATTCAATCGATTGGTCAACTCATTATCCAGCCTTTGTAAACCAGAGACCATCCTTTGCAGATATTGGATGTGGATTTGGTGGTCTGTTAATCACACTAGCACCTCAATTCCCTGACGCTCTCATCATCGGTCAGTCAGTCAGTCAGTCAGTCTTATGTAAACCCCTTTCTTATATCCGCAGGTCTTGAAATTCGTGTTCAAGTAACACAGTATGTTCAAGATCGTATCACCGCCCTCCGCGCAACCTCAGACAATTATCAAAATGTGTCAGTCATCCGCGCTAACGCCATGAAATTCCTCCCAAACTTCTTTCAAAAAGCTTCCCTCACTGCTCTCTTCTTCCTCTTCCCCGATCCCCACTTCAAAATACGCAAACACAAGGCACGCATCATATCACCCACCCTTCTTGCAGAATACGCGTACGTCCTCGCACCAGGTGGAATCGTCTACACCATCACCGATGTCGAGGATCTTGCACAGTGGATGCGCGCTCATCTAGATGCTCATCCACTCTTTCAATTTGTTGAGGAACAAGAACTAAGGAATGAAGGAAAAGGTCCCATCTTGGATGCAGTGTATAGTTCAACGGAAGAAGGGAAAAAGGTCGAACGCAATGCTGGCCAGAAGTGGCTTGCATGCTTCAGACGCATCGAGGTCAAAAGAATAAATACGTAGTATGTCAGATAAGGTAACAAATGTACAATCTTTTCGCAAGACTTTTGGAAACAGGCTCCTTGAGCTTGACTGTTGTGATTCTCAGTTTTGTCTTGTCATTAATTGTCTTTCTGTCTTTCTTGCAGAACACGGGATGATCCAGGAACCAGCAGTTATGAGCGATGGGTACGTTTGTGAATGCCAATTTGGATTGACGATGGCATCGCCTTGTCAGGTCGTTCAAAGCTCAACGACAAAGCATCCTGGCAGTCGTGCATGAGAATCACTGTAGCATTAAATCATATGCATCAAAGAAGCACACCAAGGATTGTTCTTATGTCTCTTGTAAGTTGTAAATCTACTCCTACAGTTAGCAGTTAGCAGCCCTGATCTCTCACTTAGGTCAGATGGGTGAAAAAACTGATACCCGATTTTCAGCACTGTAGCACCGGAGCCAGTGAAAGAAAGAACATTGTGAAATGAGTTCCCCGCACCGGTGATGATCATGTCTATAAAGACAGCCTTTGATATGTTGTGATGTCAGATATCCATTGTGAGATGTACCTGGAGTGAAGTCACGATAGTGATTGCGTCTGGCAGGAGTGATATGTATGAAGGACGGAGTGGTATCACCTGATAGGAAATGAAATTTCGGGGTATCCATCAAGCGTAATTCTTCCATTATAATTCTTCGGAATAATATAGAGGAATAATCAATGCCGTGCTGAAGCCCGGACAGAATGAAGGAATTAATATGACAGGCGTTTATAGACAGATGCTGATTCGGATAAGGAGCACGATGAGATGCACGCTGGAGCAACGTGGTGTGGAGCAAACGATATATAAAGAGCCCACATCAACTGGGTTGTGGGCAGAAATTCAGCTCTACTCATGACACATAAGATCGACGACTGAACCACAACGTACGCTCCTCATCAACTTCAAACGCTACTGACCGTCCATTTCCCTGTTCAGGGATATGTCGAGATTTCGCCGCGGCGATGGATCAAAAGAAGCGTCTCTTATTGTGAGAAGGCGCTCGACGCCGGCGCAGACAACCCAACCGGTGCCAACGCACACGATACGGTTGCACACAAAGACAGTGCGGGCAGTCGCATTCTTCAAAGACGGTCGATGGATCGTCACTGCTTCGAAGGATAGAACCCTGCGAATCTGGAACGTGGAGAAAAGAGCATGTGTGGGAGGGCCATTCGAGGGACATAGTGACGTCGTGACGTCAGTTACCGTATCTCCAGACGATAGACGAATTGCGAGTGGTGGAGATGATGGAGCCATCATCATCTGGAATGTCCAGAGCAAGCAGATGCTATTCCAAACCGCTGGAGAAGCATATGCGCCGGGTGTCCTCGGTGTGTTTCTCCCCGATGGCAAGAGACTTGCAAGCGGGTCATGGGATGAAACAGTTATCATATGGGATGCGGAGACCGGCGCGGTCCTCTCAACCCTCGAGTGTTGGAGTTCGGTGTCGTGTGTGGCCTTCAGCCCGGACGGGCTAAGATTAGCATACGGATTATATCGCAATATTCGGATTTGGAGCACCGATAGCGCAGAGGTTCAGTTCGACATCAAAGCTCATGACAACGATTGGGTTTATAACAGCATTCAAGTTGTGTGGTCGTCTGACGGCCAGCAGCTTGTCTCTGCATCGAATGACGAAACAATCAAGTTTTGGGACTCCTCAAATGGGTCACAGATCGGTCAACCTTGCACTGGTCACACTTCCTCCATTAGGTCACTTGCCATCTCTTCTGATGGCTTCTTCAATGCAACCGCCTCGGACGACTATACTGTGCGCCTGTGGGACATAAAGTCACACAAACAGATAGCACAACCACTCAAACACACTGCACGTGTTTTCTGCGTTGCAATTTCTCCCAGTGGAGAACTGCTCGTGAGTGGAGACGATGATGGGAATGTTCATCTATGGTCGATCGAGAACATACTTTCTGCAGCATTCGGAACGGGCTCTTCATATTTTGCGCATCGCAGTAAGGTGAAGTTAGGCCAAAAGCTTTATGCAGAGGCTCTTTCGGATGCGGAAAAGGTGCGGACGGTATTCGTCCTTGTTAAACCATTTGCGATGATGTTCGTAGGTTATCGAGCTCAACCCTTCGTCTTATCTCGGGTACGAGTTGAAGCATGCAGCGCTTCATGGATCACAACGCTATGAAGATGCATTCAAGGCCTTCACAATCATGCTTTCCAAGTTGGATGATGCACCCGACCCACAAATACGACGTAAGCCTCAGACAGCTCAAGCGTCGACTTGAAGACGACTTACATTTTTGCAGAGCTACGCCAGCAATATGCCAGTCCATCTGAAGTAGAAGATGCTATTCGACAAGCCATTCACGCCCAACTGGAAAACGCCCCCCTTCGTCTAATCAACACCTCTACCGGACGTTTGTGCGATCGAGATGCGCAGATCAACGCATTCATGGAGAGTACAGAGCACAAAGAGCTCCTGCACACATTGGTTATACATGTGCCCCTCCAAATGGAGCCCATCAAAGAAGCTGTTGCAAAGTACTTCAGTTGGGTCATGTTGTCCCATAGGTGGGAAAGGAAGGAACCGCTACTGCACGACATTCAGGGCAGGGACATATATGACTTGGATGCGGTTGGAACCGTGGTGAAGTTGCAGAAGTTCTGCGAAGTTGCTCGTGATGCGGGGCATCGTTGGGCGTGGAGCGATACATGCTGCATCAACCAGAACAACAATGTAGAGGTCCAGCAGTCAGTGAACTCTATGTTCGTCTGATATCATCACTCAGCGCTCACCATTGTCTACCTATCGGACGTGCCTCCTTCATCAGAGTCTGGCGCGCTCGCAAGCAGCATTTGGAACACGCGAGGATGGACAGTTCAGGAGTTCCTCGCTCCAAAGTTGTTCTCTTCTACCAAGCAGATTGGACCCTATATCTTGACGACCGCTCACGCAACCACAAACATTCTCTCGCTATCACGCAAGAGTTGGAGCGTTCGACTGGCATAAGTGCGCGGGCGCTCGTCGACTTCCGGCCAGGGATGATAGATGCCCGGGAGAAACTCCGATGGGCGTCAACTCGTGTCACCACTTTGCAGGAAGACATCGCGTATTCGCTGTTTGGGATCTTCGGTGTCCACCTCCCTGTAATTTACGGAGAAAAAAGACAGAACGCGCTCGGACGACTTTTACAGGAGATCATAGCCCATTCGGGCGACATCACGGCCCTGGACTGGGTGGGACAATCGTCCAACTTCAACAGTTGCCTGCCAGCCGACATTTTCTCGTACAAGGCTCTGTCATGTGCACTGCCATCTCTATCTGAACGCGACATGCAGAATTCGGTCTCCTCATTACGAAATAATATTTTCGCTGTGGAATCGGCCTCGAAACTGTATACCCTCCTTGAGAAGCTCAGCGTTCCTCGTTTTGCAAATGCCAGACTGCAATTGCCTTGCATCGCATTTCCTCTCACAGAATCAGGCGGAGGCCTGGCCAAGACGGGGATACATGTTTCAATTATGACGTCAAGGCAGACGGGCTACAAGACCTGCTGGTCATAACGGAAGACAAGCTTGTTCAATTCTCGCCTGCAAGGCGTACTCGGCGGACATTCCTGCTCGTCCGTCCGTGGAATAGGCATGATCTCGGGCTGATTAACTTCGCAGACGAGACGCAGAGCGTAGAAGATTGGCCCGAGCCTGGGTCCCCTGGATACAACGAGTCCACCATGCGAGAGTTGAGGTTGATCGTTCGCCTCGGACAGCCTTTTGGCGGACTTTTGCTAGCGCAGCAGTGGGGTGGGGAGTATAAGAGAATCGCTTCGGATAACAATATCATCGCGCAAGTTAAGGACACGGCATTTGTTTACGACATGATGGATATCAGAATGATGGAGATATTATAGCTGCGAAGAACGGGTCATTTTTCTTTCTTACTCTGACAACACACCTGTATCGTATCATACATTGTCTTGTATTACAGACAACATAATCCTTAAGTCAGACGTCTTACGAAGAGGACAGCTCCGGCGCAAGCGCTCACAGGTTGCATTGATTGCTGTAACTGAAGCGCACCTGTGATGCATCGCCTCCTTTGTAGTACTGCGTGGTAATGCATACGCTATGCAATTCATCCCTTCCACGCGAAAAGCATCAATACGGCGCACTGCTGACGGTAGTACTCACGGTGTAATGCAACAGATACAATTAGAGCTAGTACTACTAACTTGACGGAGAGCTCGGGAGTTTTGCCAGCCAGATCTTACTTCACCCGCGATGACTAATATTCCTCGCTTCCTCACAGATCGATTGCTTCAAAACAGGCAAAAACACAAGCTTAAGGCACGCTTGCGTCGAGATCAAAAGAATCATGTATAATGTACAATTTTTGCGTGAGACTTTTGAAAACAAGCTCTTGACATTTATATTGACCAACCATGGTGCGCCCACTTTACTCAATATTCCCAACATAACCGTCTTCCACATATTCACATCCAGTCATCCCGCATCGAACTACTTAATGCTGGTCTTCTTCGCAGCGACGGTCGTAGACCTTATGAACTACGGACACTAGCCATCAATTTTGCGCCACAAGGAACAGCAGACGGCAGCGTCACCTACTCACACGGCCTCACTCAAGTACGCGTCTCAGTACTCGGTCCACACGAACCAAAACAAGGAACAAGACGCGAAACATTCCACGATCGCGCAACACTAAACGTTGAAGTTCAACTCGCCCCTTTTGGCGTCGGTGAACGAAGAAGAAGAGGCAGATCTGACAAGTAAATGTCATTGACACCCACTTTATTACGCATATTGTTAATACCACTCAGGCGTCTCCTTGAACTCGCAGCATCAATCAAAAGCACGTTCGAACCAGTCGTCCAAACCCATCTCTATCCACGCAGCACAATCGACATCTTCGTACATGTCCTTCAGCTCGATGGCGGCCTCCTCCCCGCTTGCATAAATGCCTCCACCCTCGCTCTAGCAACAGCAGGTATCCCCCTCTTCGACTTTGTCTGCGCTATCAGCGGTGGCGTGTACGGCACCCAACCCTTGCTCGATCTAACCACAGTCGAAGAAAACGACGTCCCTAGCGTCGTGGTGGGCGTGATGCCTCGTACCGGACGCGTCACGCTCGTCCAGATGGAGACCAGGTTGCATATGGATCGCTTTGAGGAGGTGTTTAGAGTTGCTTGTGATGCGGGCAAGGTGTTGTGGAGTGAGATGAGGGATGCGCTCAGGGAACGGACGGGTGATTTGGTGGATAAACTTGAGGCCGGGCCCGGAATGGTTGTAGCGAAGGAGACTGAGACATAGGATTGATGCCAACTGTAGCTAGCGGCTTCGGTTAAACCGTTTTGTACGATCGGTAATCGGTGCCGGTAATTAAGCAACCCCAAGTTCTCTTACTCTACCTATCATCATCATGACGAGCGCTAGTGTCCAGTCTGAATTCAAGGTCGTATCGATCCTTGATACTGACTTGTACAAGGCATGTATTGCAGTAGCGCCATCAAGGTCACCTCTTCTGATGCAGTTGTGCAGTTCACGATGCAACAGGCTATCTTCGAATGCTACCCCACTACGCAAGTCGTCTATCGATTCACGCACCGCGACAAGCACCGTCAGTTCTCCAGAGCATGCATACAGAAATTTCGCGAAGCGCTGAACGGTTTGTTTCTCTGACTATTCAATTTTGTGTGCTGACTTAATACATGCAGGTTTCGCCGATGTACAACTAACACAAGACGAACGCGCATGGCTCCAAGATAAATGCAAGTTTTTCAAGCCTGCGTACCTCGATTATCTCCAGTCTTACAGGTTTAAACCTGAACAAGTGATTACATGCCCGTCACGCTCCTTCCTTGCACTTCATTGACACGCCCCCGTAGATCTCCGCCACCTTCCTCCCGTCTTCCGATGACCCCGATATGGGCAACGTCAAGATCGAAGTGAACGGTCCGTGGCTGGAGACCGTTTTATGGGAGGTCCCGCTCATGGCGTGTCTGTGTGAGATGTATTTCCGGTATGCAGAACAAGATTGGGATTATACCGGCCAGGAAGGTGAGTCAGATCCCCTTGTTCATTTTTCATTCTTTCGTGGTACTGAGTACGTGCACGGGTCAGAACAAGCCACGCATAAAGCTACATCCCTTTTAGACGCACGATGTACGTTCAGCGAATTCGGGACGCGGCGCAGGCGGTCGTTCGTCACGCAGGATTTAGTGGTGAGAGGCCTTATCAAGGCGAGGGATGCGCATGAGTGGAAGCAGGGCTTTTTTGGAACTAGTAATGTATGCTATTCTTCATATCGGTGGTCTCCTTCTGGGTTTTTTTTGACGCAGATGCGCAGGTCTACTTCGCAATGCGATACAACCTCAATGTGATAGGCACGATCGCTCAGTATGTAGCTGTTCTTTTTGTGTTCATTCTGACTTCTGACTTGTGAATTTTAGCGAGTGGTTCATGGGCGCAAGTTCCACTTTCTTGATGATAAGATCTCCTCTGATCAGGAATTATACTTAGATTGCGGCGCTGGGAGATTACAAAGACGCTGCTGGGACAGCTCTAGACCTCTGGTCCAACCTCTACGGAGACACTCTGTCAGTCACACTCACGGATACGTTCTCCACTGAAGTGTTTTATCGGGTACGCATGTCCACTTTATCAATGCGCAGCGTCTCTGATTTTATTTTTATTTTTATTTTCATCTTCATTCTTGGTGATTTATTTATAGGAATTCGATCATAGGCGCGCTAGCCAATGGAAAGCCCTACGTCAAGACTCGGGAGACCCCAAAGTATTCGCACCGAGGGCTAAGCGGATGTACGAAGAGCTCGGGATGGATCATACACAAAAAGCTATCATCTTCAGCGACGGGTTAGATTTCAAGAAGGCGAAGGAGTTGAATGAGCAGTGCCAGCTGCTGGGATTCAAGTGTGCGTCGTCGCCTTATCTTTGGTTGCTCATGGTCTAATCGCACGTGCAGGTTCGTTTGGGATTGGAACTTGGCTGACCAACGACTTCAAGACGAAGAGCAGTGGGTATGAGGAGCGGAGCAAGGCGTTGAATATCGTGATCAAGCTTGGGTCGATTGATGGGAAGGAATGTGTGAAGATTAGCGATGAGCTTACAAAGGTGGGATGTGTCGTGATTCTCGGGTTTGTCTCATCATTGATTGCCTTTTTTCATTTTTACAGAATACGGGAGTTCCGGAAGTTGTAGCAAAGGTTAAAGAGATGTTCCAGATATCGGTCTCGTAGACCCAGTGTAGACCAGTAGCTGTGTGAGTGATGGTACTTTTGTGAATGAGAACTTGGATTGACGATGGGATGGCGTTGTCTTGCCAATCCAGGGTGTCCAAAGGCCAATAACGAATCGTTCAGGAGGTCGTGTATTAGAATAGAATGACTGCAGCATTAAATTATTCATGCCAAAGCCACGTAACGAGCCCTGATCATCAATTCAGATGGGTAGCATCAGGAAGATGCTTTCGGACGGCCGCAGCATTCAGATCGCCGCTATCATGAGAAAGCTCATACCCAATCATCAGCGCTGCGCGGCTGCGGCGCCAGAACTGGCGAAAGAACGACCATTGTGATGTGAGGTTCTTACACCAGTACTAGAAAATTATGCGATTATATTGACAAAGACAGCTTTTGAGAGGTTACAATGCTTGAAACATAGCCTGACGCATCGCTCTCGTTCACAGCATTTTCGACTACCTGTGTAGTTCCAGGTGTCCATGGTGTGATGTGCCCGGAAAGTAGAACAACGTTCTAACTTCTAAATGCTGCGGGAAGTCATCCACTAATGGAAGGAGCGGAATGAGATCCACGTTGAAGCAGAGCAAACGATATATAAAGAGCCTAAATGAATTGAGTTATAGAAATCCAGCTCTACTCGCGATACATCAGATAGACGACTTAACCACAGAGTACACTCCTCGTCAACTTCAAACGCTACTGGCTGTCTATCTCCCTGTACAGCGATATGGAGTGGTTGCGCGATGTGGCAGAAAAAGCGTATCCTGCTGTCAGAAGGCGAGGGACGCCGGCACAGACAACCCAGCTACCAACACACACGATGCGCGTGCACACGAAGGCAGTGACGGCAGTCGCATTCTTCAAAGACGGTCGACGGATCGTCACTGCTTCAAAGGATAAAATTCTGCGAATCTGGGACGTGGAGAAAAGAGCATTTATGGGAGAGCCATTCGAGGGATACAGCCGCGATGTGGCTTCAGTTGATGTATCGCCAGACGATAGGCGAATTGCAAGTGGTGGATGGGATAGAGCTATCATCATCTGGGACGTTGAGAGCAAGCAAATGCTATTCAAACCGCTGGTGCAGCACAGAGGTCGAGTGTTATCGGTGCGCTTTTCCCCGATGGAAAGAGAATTGCAAGCGGTTCATGGGATAGCACAGTTATTATATGGGATGATCCTCTCTACACTCAAGCTCAAGGGTGACCGAGACCACCAGTCGTATTGGAGGGATAATACTTTTGGACAGCCACAGCATTCAATAGTGTCCTGGTATCCACGTCAATGCAACGTAATATTATAGCCCTGACCTGGACCACCATATCAGGCGATATCAACGGAATACTTCTGGACAGACACAGCAAATATTCAGATCGCGGCCCCTATAAAGATCAATTATCAGTAAGTACTGCGGCGTCGGAACCAGTGAAAAAGGGCGCGTTCCTCGCACCAGTATTTGGAAATGTATGCGATTGTGAAGGCAGCCTGACGTCCACGTATCGCTCTCATCCACAGCAGCTTAGTTCCCACCACCAGGGTATAGCAAACATATAGGGTATAATCACGGCAATTGATTGCGGCTCACCTGCCTAAGAGGGTTATATAATATTCTACTTGGCAGTCTTCAAGCCTAT